TGAGGGCATAAACCGCCGTCACCCCAAATGACTTGCTTGTGAGTCAAGGGCTAAAACTCGAACAACTTTCTGGAATGGCTGGTTCCGAGAAACTGGGGAGATCAAATCTGCATCCTGTTGGAAGGGTGAGTGCACTGCGCATCACGGCAGGCTCGGCGATCGCATCGAAACCGCATTATACATAGAACTGGCGCCTCAGATACCCAGCGCACAGTTACGGCATGCATAAATCCCTTTGCAATTGCGATTTGCTGAATGCAAGCAGACACGCGCGTGTGCAGCATTCTCGGCCCTTGAGGAACAAAGCGTTTACCTCTTGGGACTTGAAACTGGAATTCCAGAAACCGAGTCATCAGCTACCCAACTGCCATAAATGTATCTCCAGGTGAATGTTCTTCCGCATTCAACAGGCGGATACTAATGGTACTGGCTAGTAACAGCTCGGTCGAGAACAGTAGCATGCAGGTGACCTCTGCCTTGTTAAAGGGGTGCAGAATGGCCAAGGGGCTTTACTACTCTAGATCCAGCTGCCTAATTCGATGGGAAGTCAACTATTATGGGCATACTCTTCGATCACAGACCGAGGCTGTGTGTAGTTGCCCAGTGGCTTGTACGGGATATGTGTGAATCTGTGCACATGGTTTCAATTATGGCGAATGGTTCCATGAGAACAATCGCGGTACAAACCCAAATGCACTCGGGCCTCCGAGAGCAATGCCACGTTCAGAACCGGTCCACTGGGGCGCCGCGGTGATCCCGAGCACGAGAACCCGCAACCCATATTTGTATTGAGGCGTGCCGAGAGCAGACCCATTTTGAGCATCAAGCACGGAGATTAGATCAGGAACAGTTGCGACCATCTCCACGTTGATACTTTTAGCACCGACTTGGGAGTAAGGAACATACTCTCACAGTGGTTATTGCGTCATCCGCGGTATGTTCTGCATACAGATTCTCGTTCTTAAATGGAATGGTGAGTGTTCCGGTGAAGCGTTCCATGGGACGATCAGGGTCGTCCTCATCAATGTCGTCATCCACAGTCAGCGCGGTGATGACAACTTCTCCGATCGTATGACCTTTGTAGAGACTGACACAAATCAATGGTGTTGTGTAACAGGAGATCGAAATAAAACTGACCGCCTTCCCACATCGGTGATCTTGCCCATAAACAACACTCTCGCAGAGTTGGGGCCACCTACAGCGTCAACAAGAATTGATCCAATCCGAGACAAACTTGATTGTTTGCGAGCAAGTGCAATAGCTCGTCCAATGCGCCAGCTTAATGACACTGTGTTCTTAATCATGGCGTTATCCACATAATCAGCTTTCAGAGGGCGACTGGCCAGTCCCACGTGTGTCCTAATTAATGCACACGAGGTACCACATAATCATCACGGATAGTACTCATAACACGTGTCACCACTCACCCCATTTCAACACATGCCGCTCGTAAAGAGGCATCAACATCAATGTCACGTTTGGCCTTTGTCATAACCTGTAAATAGTTCGTCGATTTTGACTAAAAACGTGGAAGGGAAAGATACCATGACGTTCCCATCTCCACTGGACATGGTGCTCGGGAGCATCTTGGCTCCTGTGCCACTGACATCGTAGACATTGGCCGTGGTTTGATACCACTTTCATAACCTTAAATTTGGAGCATACACTCAGGATCAGAATGGTACTGCTCACGGTGGGGTATGCACGACCCTATATATAGATGACGATTTAGACAACGAACCACTTGCTTGTTGCTACATACCATGAAGTCCCCATCTAAGCAGGGTATATTGGCGTATTTCGTGGATCCCAGAATCATCTACAGCCATGTCAATAATTGTCTTCGCTTGACGGATAACTGAAACATCATACGTTAATCATACCGTTCGCACCCCCGATCTCTAATCCGCAAAGCGCTTCTGGTTTCGCAATCTAGAAGTGTATCGTCAGAGAACTACAATAATCGGACCAGCCAAGATTACATTACCCCTATCAGTGACCACAACTCCGCGCTAGCTTCTTGATATCTAATGACCAATTAGGCGTCACCCTTCATTCATGCAGCGAAAACACTGACTCGTTGCCAAGTAGTCTCTCAGAGGACACTTCTGGGCTACCCATGCCTCCACCCCATCCAACCAGTGCATTGGACGTAATTGATGAAAAGTCAATCACTCGTACTGTTTCACCTGACCGTACGAGTTCTCTCAGTTCCAGGAAAGTATGTAATGGGGACCCGCCACCGCCGCATCCCAATACATAGCAGCCATCTGCAATCCACTCCAGATCAACCTCGGACAAGAGCCATTCTCCGCTTTTTATCCTTGGTTCGTACTCCAGGATGTCGCTCGCAGTACGCATGACCGGCGCCACACCGGCAGAGGCGGCGGCGGATGCTACCATTTGTGGCCGGGAGGCGGTCTCCCCGGTAGAAGCTTCAACACACAAAGGATCATCAACCTCTAGCCAACTTGGACTAGTGGCACCACTCCAGTCTCCGGCGGCCTTGACATAAAAACGGCAACGACCGCTGGTATAGGCGATCGGAATGACCTCGCTCTCTACTATGGCGACACGGTGCGGATCCGCTCCGGAAGCAATTGCTCGAGCGATAGCCCTGGCTTCGACATCAGCGCGAACTTGTACGATGGTTCTTGTGGATGTGTCTTCGAAGGAATCAATGATGCCTGATATCTTCAGATCGAGATTGAGCATCAATGGGGAGAAGGTCATTTTCTCATTACCTGGGCAATGGCAGCGCCAACAGCGTTCGCGACGTCGAAGTGAGGGAATCTGTGAACCCGGCTGATGCCCGCAAGAACATCTGGAGCAAGGATAGACCCTCCGCCGACCAGGTAGACTGGGATATCTTGCGAAGATGTTTTCATGGCATCAAGGTAGTTCTGGAGCATCTTCTTGATAGCACTTTGAGCGCCTTCGATGATCGACTGCCCAATTCCGGAAACAAGACTTTCGTCTCCAATGTTTGAAGCGCGACCTGCTGCAACAACCACGTCGGTAGCGGTAAGTGTAGAGCCACCAAACACCAGAGATTCAGAGGTAATCCGATGGCCAACGGAGTGAGGACCAACAGCGACCTTATTTGTAACTGGGTCCTCTCGGACAATAGAACCCCCACCAAGGCCAATACTAGCGCATAGACAATCAATTTGCCATGAATACTTGTCATACTGTCAACACCAGCACCTGGTAACATGTGGCATGGAGAAGTTTAGCAAAACCCCACAGAACTCGTGATGAGCGGCGGCTTGGCGAGGGAATCCACTAGGTCTAATGGGTTGTCAAGCAAGATTAGTATGGTTGCTAAAACTTCTAAGCTCTGTTCACGAACAACAGCATTCCGATGTCCGTCTAGAATAAGACAACAGTGAGCCTGTTGCTACTAAGCTGGAGGTTGTCTCAACGACATACCGTTGTGCCGCCAATATCAACTACTAGTGCGGATTGCTTTGAGATGCCTGACTCCAGTGCGGCCAAGAACGCGGCGCCACGCATGGAGTTCGTTGGGCCAGACGAACTTCAAGGAAAATCATCAATCGCTTATGATAACCCTTGTCACCGAGACGTCTTTGAGAGAAACACGCACAAGGTTCGAATAGGAAGACGCGCTGCTTGTGCGCAGCTGAGCAAGGTGCCATCATTGCTCGTAATGAAAACGGAGCACTTCAATTTGAGGGCCTGGGCTGCCTTCTCGAAACCTATTACCGTCTTCTTCGCGTATCGCAATAATGCAGCGTTCAAGATAGATGCGTTTTCACGCTCCAGCAGCCCGATGGCAGCAACGTCCTTGGAGCATACGACGTCCATTCCCGGAATGCGTTTCCGCACGATCGCTGCGACTGTTTCCTCCTGTTGGATCTCAAAGTCGATGGGTGCGAACACCGAGGACACGACAACTGCGTGTATGCCCTGCAGATCATCTCAGTCGCATCCAACGTGCCCACCATCATTTTCTGTACCTGGCGATTGATTTCGTCGCAGGCGGATTCGACTTGCGCAACGACAACAGAAGCAATCTCACTTCCGTCAATTTGCAGACCTCCTGAGAGGAGGAAGTGGGGACCTTCGAGTACTATGGGAAGTAGGCATCAGTACAGGACGTCATCGCACGTTCCACAGCAGCAACACACAGTCTCGCAGCTCGTGCGGAAAGCCTACGAATGGTGGCGTTCCATGTGTAAAAGGGCCACACAGGCGAATGACTGCGACTCTATCCAAACGCCGAGGATCTCTTTCTACCAATGCATTTACAAAGTGCTAGCGTGTACGCGAATCAGGACGGAAGTTGGTGCGTGTACCAAGCGAATCTTACTGTTGTGCCAATACAGAGCGCTTGGATGTTCGACTTGCTCTGAACCTGTGTCAACACGGACTCAATGGCATTTTGGATTCCAAGAGTGACGTCCGCTGTAGTGAGGTGTTTTGCTGATGCGAGAACCTGCCCTCTTCGCGAACCCTCTGATAGATCGAGGAGAACTGCATCGCTGGTGAACGTTTCTCGAGTCCGCGGAGCCATGTGTAATCAAAACGGGTACGCACGTATTTGTTCCTCCTACGTCAACACCTAACCGTAGGATGGAGTGGACTGAACTCATTTATGGCTGAAGGACTGCTGGTATCGTCTGAGACAACCAAAAGCTAGGTGGCTGCGATAAGGATAGCCAAGATGGGGGACCAAACCAACCGTGGTGCTTTGCCACGACCAAATTAGCAGATAAGCGAAATTGAATATTGAGCTTCGATTCGTATTGAGTGCTAGTAGGTATAAGTAGTCATGTTACTTCAACAATAGCTTGAGCCATTGCGCGTGCATGGTTTTCCTGCCAGCACTACCAGGTCATCGAACCCGCCTTCATAAAGACATTCAGTGATTCTGAACAATCTGGAATCCGGGTCATCATAACGATGGTATCTGACCGGTCAACCATGCACAATGTACTACTAGTAAACATGTGCGCTGCCCAAGCGCCGTATAATGTGAAAGCAAGCCACAGAAAGAAAGAAAAACAATGAACTCACCAACAATATACACAGAAATAGGTATACGTAACTTGGGAGTTGAGATAAACGTTCACGTGAATATTTGCCCAAAGCAATAAAAGTAGGTGTACTTTGACTTGAACTACTGCTGGTAGTAATATAGCAGCTTGCTATCACAGGTTCGGACGTTCCTCGGGTGCAGCGCACGCAATTCGGGTCTTAAAGGCCACGGCATAAATCAGTTTCACACCACCTGCATCCTTGTCATCGGTGCAATTATCTTAAGTCGCAGCAATGCCTTGGTCCGTAATTTGAAAGAACTCGAAGGACGCGGAAGATTCGCGTTGGACTTGAAGGGGAGGAATCGCAAGACGTGCAAACAGCGACGAGGAACTTTCAACTACATAACAGTGTCAGCATCTGCATTCTGTATTCATTTTAGGATGAACGGCGGAGTAAGGGGGGACAATCGCAGCTAACCATTAAGTCAATGATGCAGCTTCAAGTGATGGATAAGAGGCTTGGATTGATAGTTAATGCTGATTCAGGTGAAGCGCAAGCACTTAGCAGGTTGACCAGAAGCCTATTGAAAGTTGAAACCCTAGTCAGAACATCGCGAAGCCTTGAACCGAAAAATATGAAAAAAAGAGTTTAAAACTTTTGTTGAGCCGAAAATAAGTAAAGTATCGTGAGAAATATATTCCAATTCGATACGAGTTAGTTCGGTTAGCACATGTTGGTTTGGGGGCCAGGCCGCGTCGCGTTTCTTGAGACCAACCATTCATCAAGACAGCTGCAGGATTTTAATCGTCGACGGCCTGCGCAGGCATGGCCAGTCCATCAGATGACGGTCTAGCAGAAGTCCCATCAAACATGCCAGATTTCTCTGCACCAGCCTTCTCTTCCGCTGGCCAACGCAAGTTTCGTCTCCAACAGCTCCTCGATAACAAGGAAAAGCAGCTGCAACAGGCGGGAACTCTCGGTCAGCGGGTTCTTGCGCAGCAGATAGAAGCTCGAAGAGAAGATAAGACAACTCCAGGAATTTGATGTAGAACATGCAGAGGACGGGGAACTAGATACTGACGCGCGCGAACGTTATCGCGAACTAGCAGAGACTATTGCTGATTGGGACGCAGAGAACGCGCAGCTATCTAGTGCCTTTGGCCAAAAAGTGAGTCCTGCATTTAAAATTTCTAGGCAAACGCCTGTTATTGGTGAATGCCACATGCACCACGCCTTGCCTATGAAATCCGTAATGCATCATGCACTAATGTGTAATCTATTTATTTATAGCGTCCTCCTACGCAGCAATCATCTCCAGCCCTACCAATCAATGATCTTCCTCGAGAGGAGCCCGAGCGCTCCAAAGCTTCAGCTTCATCTGCTGCCCAGTCTCGTCGCGCCAAAAACGCTGCCCATCGAGCAGACGACGTCGGCAAGTTTCTTTCACTCTTTTCGGTTTTGCTTTCACGGCTCACCATTTTTCCAGAATTTGCGTTCGAGATCGGAAGCGGACTTCTTACCGAAGTGCGACGGCTCCAAAGCCTTCTCGGAGAGCGTGACAAGGCCATCCAAGATATGAAGGAGGAGAAAGACGACCTCGAAAAGACCGTTGAGTCTCTACGTACCGCGCTTCGATCGCAAGAACAGAGCTCAGGTCAGTCCTGTAATATTTCTTTGCCTCGTGAAATTTACTTGCCGCAGACAAATTCAAAGAAGAAAACTGGAACCTCGAAGTTACTCTTCAAGAAGTCCGTACCCAACATTCAGACGCGCAGTCAACAATTGTGCGCCTCGAAGGTGAACACAAGCGCATCACGAAAGTGCTCAACAGCACACGAGAAGCAGCAGACCAGCACAAGAACGAATCACAGCGCGTCCAAACTGCATTCGATGATATGAAAGCTAAGCATGAGACAGACGTGGCACAGGCGCGTAAGCATGCTGCGGGCCTACAGCGCGACAAGTCAGACTTGCAGTCCGCGCTTGATACACTGAAGGCAGAAGTAGAGAAAGCAAGCCGTCGCCTCGGTCCACGATTCGGGAGTCCACTCACGCCTGGCGCAAGCCAGGGCAAAGAATACTCGACCCCTGCTGCAGAGGATGATGATGTCTTCACCTCGGCCAGCACCAACAACAGGCGAAAAATGGACAGTTCGGCCGTGTTCCAGCCTGACGCATTCGAGGATCTTGTAGACATTTCCCCCGACCCATCACCATCACGCCCATTCCATGCGAGCAACCATCCCAATAATGAAATTGAGGCCCTCCAGCAGCGGCTTGTCCACGCCCAGAGGCAGATCAGCACCCTCAAGGGCAGTTTGCATCGCGAGAAGGAGATGCGAATGGAGTATAGGCGCAAACTAGAAGTCTTCCTCTGGGTATGTACATGATGAAAACGAGCCTCCAGGAGATGAGACAAATGACGATGACGAGATTGAGACTAAGCATCCTCGCCGGCTGACGCCATACCGTTCTGGTGGTGGCAGAGGCAGAGGCAGGAGAGGCAGGGGAAGGTCCTCCCTTGTTACCAGGCTTGGCATGGCAGCGCAAAGTCCTAGTCCTACATCTGATTACAACGCATCTCCTCCTCCACCCGTGCCGGCCCTCCCCGACTTTGCTGACGATATTCTTTCCGACGAGGGTAACGCAGAAGGCGAGCCGGAAGAGCAAAATCTTGACTCCTTACCTTCTGCCTCCTCGAAGCGAACGAGCGTTGACGGTATGGACCCCATGTTTGCCAATGTCCTCCGCAAGTCTGCATCCTACAGCTCGCTTCCAAGTCAATCCAGCCCTCTTCGCCATTCCCTGCTGGCCCGCTCGTCGCCTCGCGGCACTGCACGTGGTGGAGCCCCACAAAGACGCACTCGTGGCGGTGCTGCTTTCCAGGAGGCCAGACCGGCGTCCCTTGTTGGGGAACCTGAGGCCTTGGCTGCAGAGCTCGGCATTGGCATGACGTCTGTCACTGAAGATGTTGAAGTCAAGGTCACCACTGAAATGGCATGTCAGACGGACTTCGAGGACGTGACGGTGCTTGTGCCCTCGCCCTCTTCCCCAGCGAACGACATGGGTGTGCAAGTCGAGCAAGCCCTTGAACCCGTGCCAGCATCTCCTACCACTTCTGAAATGTCCTGCCAGACTGACGGGGAGTCCTCTGTGGTGCACATGGAAACAGCTGTGCAACACGAACCCATTTCTCCCGTTGCAGCCCGCACAAGTTTTTACCAAATGCAGCCCCCTGATCGTGTTTTCATTGCACGGAGCTCGATGAGGCGCACGACGCTCACACAGTCTGATTTCTCTCGCTCGTCAGAGGGCGACAATACCTTACGTGGTAGCATCCCCGGTGAAGCTAACAGCCGACGACCCATTCCAGGTGGTTTCACCTCTGATGAGGAGAGCGACATCGACGTTGATATTGACGACGGAGCGACGGAGACCGGTATAGAAACAGACACAGATGTGGACGATTACCACGACGCGCGGGGAAGTTCTGCTACAGAGTCACGGGAGGACTTCCACTCTGTGTTGACGATGACGGACAACGACTTTTCGGAGAGCGATGACGAGAGTATCAAGGCGCTGGTAATCTCAAGGCGGTCGTCAATGGCGTCTACGACGCAACATCGGGAGTTGCGCCATCGTGACACAGCTACCTACGAGGAGAGGGGTGTTGGTATGGATAGCGTTGAAGAGCCGAAGGTCATCGAGGTTATCAAGGAAGTTGAGGTCATCAGGGAGGTGGAGGTCATCAAAGAAGTGGAAGTCATCAAAGAAGTCGAGGTGCCTGTTGAAGTCATCAGGGAGGTGGAGGTGCCTGTTGAAGTCATCAGGGAGGTGGAGGTCATCAAAGAGGTCATCAAGGAGATCGAGATCATCAAGGAGGTTCCGATCGAAATCATCAAAGAAGCACCTGTGGAAGTTATCGAGGAGGTCCAAGAACCAGTTGAAGTGTTGAAGGCAGTCGAAGTGACCAAGACGGTTGCCGAGCCCTCCAAGCCAGAGCTGAAGGAGATGTCCGTTCAAACGGATATTTTTACTGCTTCGCCCGTCATTGCAAATTGGCAAGATACCTCTGCGTCATCCATGACCCCAACTGCCACTCCCGCACCCTCTCTCCCTGCGTCCCCCGCTCTCTTCCGAGTGGGCACGACGGTACAGCAGTTCCAGTTCGTCCCTGCACCTGCCGTCGCAATGCCCGCTTCCCCTTCCCCCTCTACTGTTCGCGACTCCAGTCTCAGTACCACAAGCATCGGCATCATTCGTTCTGTTACCTCCAATGCAGACCATCGGCAGGTCAGTTGAATCTGCAGTTTCTTTTGGCGCCGACGATGGAGCTCGTCGTTCAAGGACCGCTTCTTCCGTACCCTCCATTGTAGACAAGACTCGTCCCCCTATGATGGCCTTGCCACCACCACCTCGCCAGCCGCCTCCGTCTAGCACCATGGCACCACCCCCTTTCATCCCGGAAAGGAGAGTAGCTACTACGTCCTCAACATCGGACGCGCCGCCACCTCGTCCGTCCTCCCCCCCACCTCCAGAACTCATACAGCGTGCCACCACACCGACCTTTGGTACAATGCTCTCCGTACATGGCAGGGGTGGTGCTTACGGTCCAAGACAGCATGGCTCGAGCATGCCCCCGCCCCAATCAAATTTGCGGCAGCCGCCATCCACAAGCAGCTTCCGGTCTGCTGCCAATGCTGCGGCGTATGCGCAAAACTCGGTTCCACCGTCTGGCTTACCATCATGGGGTGTGCGCGAGCAGCAGAGGAGGGAGATGTCGAGTACGTCCCTGGCGTCAGATAGAAGCGCACTTTCACCACGGTCGTCCATGTCTTCGGACCACAATGTCTTCTTAAACCGTACACCTGGCGCTAGCATGCCCGTTACCCCCGGCAAGAATGTCGAACAGCTTAATGACAACAGAAATAGTATGTCGACAGACCCTGCTGTCATCCATGCGATCACCCAGACTATGATCGGCGAGTTCTTGTACAAATATACCCGGCGCACCATTGGTAAGGGCTATGGAGAGAAGAGACACAAGCGGTTCTTCTGGGTGCATCCGTATACCAAGACTTTGTACTGGAGCTCTGCTGACCCTGGATCATCAAACGTTTCAGAGTCGAGTGCCAAGAGTGGTGAGTGAAATGTTTAATGATGTGATATCTCTCTGATTGATGTTGAATTGATGGTTTGTGTGGCCACAGCTTATATTGAAGGCTGTTCGCTCTGTTTTGGATCCCAATCCCATGCCTCCTGGTTTATACCAGTACAGCGTGGTGATATCCACAGCCCAGAGAGAAATGAAGATTACCGCTCCTACCAAAGAGCGCCATGACATTTGGCTCAACGTCCGTTGCTCTCGTCTAACTTTTGGGTGGACGCTTACATCATTCTAGGCTTTGAAATACCTGCTTGCTCGTCCCAGCCCTGCAATGACACCCTCAACCAGTCAGAATGAAAATGCGGCCCCCATGAGCCCCATGTCTCAAAGCGCAGAGCTCACAGACGATGATCACCGTCATTTGATTGATACAAGCCCCCAAAGTCAACGAAGTGGCCGAAGCAGCCGGAACGGTGGTGCCTTCAGCACCACGCCGCGGGGCAGCCGGAGTAGATCACAAATCTCTATTCGAGGGTCTGTAGGCAAAAGGTCCGGAACGCCAGCCGCAGAATACCTCCGATGGGCAGCGCCCGAGAGCCCGTACAGCCCCGCGAGGTCCTTCGAACGAGTAATGAGTCATGGCCAAGACGATGATGACCTTGAGTTTGAACTCCATGGCCAATCCCAATCAGACGACGGGTTCGAGGGCTTGGAAAATGTGCGCGCCTGTTGTGATGGACGTCATACTGTCGGTCATTCTGGTCATCACCACCATCACTCCCACAATGGTGACCACCTTGAAGTTAGCGCTCCCGCACGGCCGGTGTCTCCTGCGTGGTCGCTTCGATCGCGAACGGGGAGTGCACACTCTCATGACACGGGCGGTTTGTTTTCATGGGGCCGAGGGGACGATGGGAAGCTTCGCTTTGGCTCTCGACGATCTACAAAGACTGTACCTAACGCTACTGGTGATCGGTAGTTGGGCGAACAACGCCCGTTTCCTCGCTCTTGCCTTGCCTATTTTTGCTTTTTGCGCACGATATCTCGCTTTCTCGCAGCCTACCCTCCCTGATAATGGTCTTCGCTATATCATGATATAAATCCCTTATATTCAGTGACTTTTTTTTTCGTTTCGTGTATGCATTATTTTTTCTTTGCACAGTTACCCAAGACTTCCGAGAACCGAACCGCTCCTTGTATCTCACCGGAATGCTACCTAAATACCCACACTCCTTTGCTCAATTCTATTTAATTCGCCATCTACTGAGCAAGTTCGAATCATCAAATCTCGTGCATAGTAAGTTATATTTGATCCGTCGCTGTTCAACCCACTACTACCTCGTCGACTTTAGATCGGTGTATGCAAAAACCCTGGCATGTAGTGAGTTTGTGTACCAAGAGTGAAGAATTGGGAATAAGTGCAACGTACTGGCGTCACCCATTCACTGTTGCAGCTGCAGCATACGCCAGCCCAGTCATAGTTGCCGAGCTTGGCACTGCACTTCGGGCAAATAATCTTGCCTGCTAATTGGCCACTCTCCAAAAAAGGTTCCATCCATTTCATCTGAAAAGTCATGATTGGTTGTAGATCGACGACAGACAAATAAACACCTACTGGTTCGACAAAATACCCAGAACACTTGGGATTCATGAGGATCGGTGGACTGACTGGCGATCTTATCCCTGTCATACTCAACGACGGAGGCATGCGCAGCGCAGCGAGTTTCGGATGAGAATGCAGCTCAGCTGCCAGGTCCAACGGAGGCTGCGGCGGTCCGCCGGTCTTCGATGTATCCTGGCTCTCATGTACAGACGACAGCACACGCACCGTCTCGGATTGCGTGGCCGTCCCTGTTGATGGGCCTTCATCGGTAGTGACAGATGCATCGAGTGCATCCGATAGGTTCTTTCCGAGGCCTTCCATTGACATTGAGGATGATCGCGAGGACTTTACGTTAACTCTAGGGGGAGACAAATCGTCCGTGTGCCCATTCTTTGGCTCATCTGACTCGTGATCATCCTCCGTATCGAGTGCTGACATTGAGAGTGATGTCATTGAAAGCGATGACATTGAGAGCGATTCCATCAGCGCCCGTGCACCGAGGCTCATGGATGGTCGCCGCGATGACGTGCCGCGGTCGTTTGCAGACGGGCGCCTCGACGTGGCGGGTGATAGTGAGGGCAGAGCGGGCGTCGGTGGGCCTAGTTGCCCATGATCGAGCATGTGCTCGCGCGTCGCTAGTTCTTGCCTACGAAAGGTGGTGTGTATGAATTAGCGCTGGGAGCATGACATAATCTGATGGTTTACCTGCACATCTTGCATCGTATTCGACGGCTTGGCACGATCATCGGTGTATTGGGTACAGAATCTGATGGTGTTCTGGGATGCTTGGCGAACATTGCATTGTCTGGAATTGTCCCATCTCCATCTACGATTCAATCGATCAGCACCGATCTCGAGCTTGAAGCATCGATTATGATAGATAAGGCAGAAGGTAGACTTACTCATAATCTCCTCCATTGTCCGTTCCAGGTAGAACATGCGTGTTGCCTTATCACGCCGCGTGAACTTGTATGACGATTGGTGAAACACCTTAAGTTGTTCCATAAATCCTTCATTTGGCCTGCAGAAGCACCCTTATCTGGGTACATAATTCAGGGACGATGTAAAGTAACTTACTCAACGATGGGCCTCACTGTCCTTATCATGTCTACAGCGCTTTCCGGGTCGAGCTTCAGCGAGTACATGAGGTATGCTGCGACAATCGTTGCGCTCCTGCCTGTGTGATCAGATGTCAAAAATTGATCCGCTATCGGGCTAGCGGAAGAAAAGATGATGTCAGTCGGCCAAGCTCGAACGTACTGATTCCAGCCATGCAATGCACGAGTACACCACGACCCTTGTCGAGCTCGTTCTGGATAAATGATATCGACGGCAAAAAGTGCACGAGGACATCTTCATTTGCACTATCGTCAATGTTGACTTGGTATCTGTTAAATATCTAGAGGTGTCTGCATCAGCGTCTGCCTCGGATCCTTTTTCATACGTGTACTAGATGATATTTGGGCACAGGAACCCGGGGAGTTAAAGCGCTAGTGGTACGCACCGCATGAATGGTAACTTTGCCCCGCATCGCTGTTAAAACGCTGAAGATGTTTTTCTCCTTCAATCCCTTGACATCCAAAGCGCTCTGCAGATCTCCAATCCAAACTCCTGGTACAACTTCATCCATCGTAAATGGTAGATAAATGAAGTAGGAAGCTGTGTACTGAATTTTCCTGTTAAGACTATTAGGTATATTAATACTTCGGGAACTCGACCAAGTTTGTGGTATGCCAATGATGACTCGGAGCGAGTGATAAAATAATTCAGCGGTCAACTAGGAAGTGCGAAGTCAAATGAATGGGCCACTAGTAATAATTATTCGCCGTGAAACGTCGGAATGGTTGTCAACAGTTGTCAACGCTTTACACGGAGAGCTCAGCAGTATTAGTGAGCACGTGAGCAAGTCGGTGAGCATTGTTCATTGAAGGGGTTGAACCCAAATACATGCAAACAATTGGCACTTGGTCCGGAAAATCCATTAATGTCAATGCTTTTGTCTCCGTGTCGGGGAATACAATGCACGATGTCAGGTCTATAGTACAATGCATCGCTTATATGTTCAGCTTTATGTTATCCGGTATAAAGATCAGACATTCTTCTCCGGACATTTGCAAGGACGTCTCTCATCTGTCTCGTCTCAGTTCATACTCTGTATACTCTTTGCTCTTCTACCTTCAAATTCGACACTCAAGGCAGGCCTTTGGGGACCCTGGTGGACACTTCAGCTAACTGAATATTTCATCGTATCGCTCTCCAAGTTATTATTCTTCTATATTTTTCCCGTAATGGACTCGTCTGCATCTATCCGTCCTACACTCCCCCCGCTTCATTCACTTAATCTTCCTCGTGCACTCAAGACTCAACCCCCTCGCATTGATGCACTCCATGACTCGTACGAATTGAAACGCCAGGTTAGTCTGGACTTATGATATACACAACTTCTACTGAAGGCAGGGTGATTTCCAGATTCCAAGGCTGCACATACCCAGCAGTCAATATTCACATTCACACAAGAACCGTCAGGTTTCTATTTCATCCTCAACGTCTTCTCGCACTCCTTCCCCCACCCCTTCGCCCCTCTCATCTTCGCGTTCCCCTACTTCCGGTGGTCAATCCACTAAAATGTGTCTAGTACCTACCACTTTCGAGCATGCCGACGCAGTCGTTGTCATTCCTGATCCCGATGCCCCACATGTACACCCCCTCTCCGGCGTCACAAACCTCAAACAACCTGCGCCGCCCGTTCTTCTGGTCGGGCCTGCCTTGCAATGCCTGCGCCAGCCGCAACGACAAATAGCCAAGGGGGCACGTCTGCACCCCTATCGCATTGTGCGCACTCCGGCGGATCGCAAGTTTTCTATTGCATCCATCAGGATGAGATCACGAATCTTACAATAACAAGCCTGAATACTACCAAAAAATGTGTTGTATTGCTAGCGCCACCATCAGTGTATTACTAGTATTCTTTAGGAATCCCCGTCAGAGGTGTAGGTGGAAGTATTGTGTTTTTAGGTTACAAAAGAAGCTAATGTTTGAATCCGATTCACTTGTACTACTAGTTGTAGCCTTGTAGGAGAACACTGGCACTTGAATTCGTTGTGTCTGATTCACCCTGATCATCGCGAAGGAGACGGGTACCATGCATACGAGAACAAAGGTTTGAAGTTCACTTTGAACGGATACTACGGTAGTAAACTTTCTGACACTGCTGATATTCTGTTCACCCTCAAATAGGAAGTTCAAAAATCTAATGGAACAAAGGAACAACGAGTCGCATTTGTTATGCATAACCACCTCAAGCTCACGGCGATCTCCTGAGTCCTCGCATGTTGAGTCTGAGAAGCAGAAGCTTTCAGATATGGCACAACTTGAACGGATACAAGTCTGACAAGTCAATTCAAGAACACCAAAATACAAACAACGGGAATACGAAGCTCGTGATAATATTAGGAATAATCAGATTTGTTTCAGATTGCGCTATCATGTCTGGTCCGAATGCCCGAAACGAACAAGTCCGAACTTGGCAGACGTCCCTTCAGACGTTGTCCAGCGACCTCTCATTTCTTTGGGATGCGGCCCTTGGCTTTGGCAGAACGCGCTTCGGTGGTTGTCTCTGTGGGCTCCGCCATCTACGCATCCGTTTCTTCTGGAGACGACGGCAGCTCGGGGGTGGTGAAGAGGGAGCTCGAGGAGTGGAGTGGTATGCAGGAACAGGATTGGAGCTGCTGGAGGGGCCGGCGATGGCGTTAGTTCCTGCCACGGATGGTGCGAATGGCTTCACAGCCTTTTCACCCGCTCGCTTTCGCCTTTTGGCCTGTCTTTCGGAGAACCCTCTTTCTCTCCATTGCCTTTGCTTCCTGATGCGCTCAAAGTTGTCCCAGAGTACTTCTTCCATCAGTTCGCTTCTGCGCGGGTCTAGCCATTTCCCCCCGGCAGCTTCTCTGGGGTCACGAGACGCGGGCAAGGTGCGTTGGGTGGTTTCGAGTCCCACTAACTCGACTAGAGCAGGAGGACGACCAGTGATGCGCACGCTCGCCTCACCTTCTGGGATGAATGCAACTTTGATCCCATTCCCCGCGTTGGTGTTTAGCGCGACAGCGAATTCGTCATATCCGGCGGGGGAAGGGATGGACCTGGGAGCGGCTCCTCCACGCAGGTCCGCGTCATGCTGAAGATATAGATAGATTTGGTCGAGGGTGAGGAGCAGGGTGACGTTGGGACGGTAACGGTCCGGGATTACGAAGCATCCATTGCCCAAAGGACGTAGCAGCGGGGCAGGAGCTGAGTTGGTGTTGAGCATGGGGCGTGATGATTGTCGGGTGGAAGGGGAGGAGGGATTTTCTTGTCGAGCGGGGGTCTTAAAGCTGACCTCTGATAGGTCCATATCCCTAAAAAACACATGATGGTGCTCGACAGACGGCACCTCATTGCTACCAGCCAGGTCAGCAATGGTCTCAATGTCCTCGTCAGCGAGGTTGGCATTTCCCCAGTTCCTAGGGTCTGGTGCCTTCCCTTTATCCTTCGATAGTCCCACTTCATGGGACTCAGAATTTCTGTCATTTGAGGCAGGATGACTGAGTATGTCCTTTCTATTCTCCATTCGGCTTCTTTTAGACTCGGTCAATCGAGTCTCTGCCCTTCTTACCAGGTTTTCTTGTTCCTGAGTTAGGTCAGTGTTCTGCTCCCTCTTGCAGGTCACACCGTTTGCGCCTGCAGCGTGCTTCTTTGAGGCAGTAATCCAATTCCCATACCGGCCATCACAAGCATCTTCGGTTCTCTCCTTAGACAGACTCACTTGGTCCCCGAGGGTCTCAAACTTGAAAGATATCTTTCTTTCTGTATTTTCAGCATCTCTACTAACAGGAGTTACCACTTGTGCAGACACTAATTTGCCCGTCCTCCCTTCGTCTTCTGAAGGGGTCTCCGCTGTCTCGTTCGTCGGACAAGCGGGGGTCTCCCCGAGTGCGCCTGGCATCGGGGGCATACGCGCCATCAGCACGTCGCTATAAGAGCGAGCGTGCCATTCGGCGGAATACGCAGGGGACACAGCTCGAGGCTGGACGTCCCCCGGAGCCGAGACCAGAGAGGACTGGGCAAACTCACTCTTAGTTTGAAGAGGGCCTGCCTCTTCGATGTTAAGGGTACTGATGGTCCTCTCGGTTGTGACCCCATGTACATGTGTTTGACGTGGTTGGTACCGAGGGATGCGAGAGATGGTAGTAGTAGACATGTTTTAATTTGCCTAGACGCAGAATGACACGTGGATCGGACAAGAGTTCCACGAGTATGGAGAGTTAAACTTGTTGAAGGTTGAAAAATATGTGACAGATGTGAGAAGCAGAAGCTTTCAGATATGGCACAGCGCGGGTAGATGATAAATCAGGCGCTCGAATAAGTCAAGAACGCCAAGATACAAACAACGGGGAGCGACTACTCTTATACCTGTAAGAATACGAAGCTCGTGATGATAGGAATAATCAGATGTTAAAGTACTTGTTTCAGATTGCGCAACTCACCACGAGAATATTTGACAGGGAAAAAACCCGATCACTAAAACAAAGCCCTCCTATTCTACTTCGGGCGCTGAGCTGGTCAATATACATTATCAGGGGAAGCCTCATGGAATCATAAGTCTTCCGAGTTGCTGTCAGAATCTTCGTGGTCAGCTTGATTTTTTGACATACATGTGTTGCCAAGCGATACCCTATCCTGTACTGTACTTCCACCCAGGGCCGCAGCACATTGACACTGTACGCCGGGGTAGTGCAAGAGAAACTCTTACCAGTATTAATCTGTGACATGACAGGCTTAACAGCGTTGGGAGCCTCGGGCGAGTTGCCTGCAGTGGCAGGACCTGAGAGTAAGTACTGTTGCAGTGCCTGTGCCGTGAATATTGTTGAAGGGAGGCTCGAATAACATTTCTTCAGCTGTCATGCTCGTGTCGGCAATCTCAGTACAACACACTTAAGTTAAGTTTGAAAATTGAGCACATCTGATTATGTAATGTGCTGAGTTAGTCCAATTATTAGGCATTCAACATCATGACCCATGCCACCCAAAACGCCAGAAGACCCAGAACAAAACCCATATGAACTGCTTGGGATCTTACAGGAGGCTACCGAAGCTGAGATTAGGACAGCCTATCGAACCCGCTCACTAAAAGTCCACCCAGACAGAGTATGTCTATTCATTCCAAGATCGAGAGTTCGAGACTAAATTGACACTGTTGTTGCAGAACAGAAATGACCCTAATGCAGGTGCGTACCTAGCTTTGTTAAAAAAATGTAGCTTACACGCGAATGTAGCTCAGAAATTTCATGCATTGACAACCGCCTCCACCCTCCTCCTCGATCCGCTCCGCCGTCTCGCGCTCGATGCGCAACTCCGTTTGCAAGCTGCCAAGAAGCAGCGCTTCGCATCTTATGACAATAAGCGTAAGGCGATGGTCTCTGAGTTGGAGGAGCGGGAGCAAGAGTTCAAGAAGGCGCGAATGGCGAAGGAGAAGGAGAGAACTGCGAGGGAGAGCGAAAACTTGAGGGTTCGCGAGGAGGGGCGACGAATGCGGGAGCAGAGAGAGAAGGAGCTCGAGTTGCAGGAATTGGAACGTCAATGTGCGAGGTCGAAGCCTGAGTCAAACGGAACTGTTGAAGAAGACTCCCTCGCTCCGCCGCCTCCTGGCGATTTGGATACAACGATCCGTGTTAAATATGCTCTGTCATCACATCCTGCGCTTTCTACGGCATTCGCACTCGCAGCCCACCTTCGACGGTATGGCGAGATTGATGAAGGGACGGTGGTGATGTCGCAGAAAGCCAAGAAGTCGAAAAAGTCTAAGGGACTTGTAGACGGCGAGATGATAGTGACCGCGCTGGTGCCATTCAATCAGTTGGGCGCTGCATTTGCCGTGGTATCGAGTGCCGAATCGCTGAAAGATCGGGGCATGGACGTGGCATGGGCAGGCGGATCTGAGCCTCCAATACTAGGTTGGCTTCGCGAACGCGGAGAACTCGGAGGACCCGCGGCCAAGCGGGCTGAGCCGCTCCCGACAAAGACTGCTCCGGAGGGGACGACGTTCAGTTCGTTTCCCTCGAGTTTTGTAAGTCTGGTTCACTCGGTCAATCTATTTAAATCACTGATTTTTCTGTTTGGCAAGCCTGCTTTTGATGATGCGGCACCACCGCCACCTCCTGCTGTGAAGACGGGGATGGACTACGAGTCATTGACGCTCCTCCGCATGCGTGAAGCTGAACGCACACGCTTAGAGAAGGAGATACTGGAAGCAGAAGCTGCTGAGGGCGGTTAGCCTTGCTTTGCGGTCGTTTAGTATATGATGTCTTCTGACATCGGACCTGTGGTCGCGATCTCAATATCTGGTGTGAGCTCTAGAGCACCGTGTGCCCTTGGTGCACCTTGATGGTTCTCGTGGGCAGTGATGAAGGACTACGGGTGGAAGGTTAGAGGCATGTATGCATATTCCATTTTACATCCATGAGATTAATTTATTGCATTTCTCAAGAAGTTGCTCGGGGATACCCTTGAAACGTGTATGTATTGTGACGGCGTTCATGTACCCGTAGTCTGGTCGTCACATCCAGCTGAAGTGTTTGCACCCGGTTTTAAGCAGTCTAGTGCAAAAAGGTTCTTTCAGACGCTTGTCATCGCTGCGGTTTAATATAAACAATGACAACCCGATCCTACAGGTCTGAGGGAAAATGCTCTATAATGCAACTTGTACATGGCGGGCTGAATATGACACCGGTTTGCGTTGTGGATTCAGACCCTGCTACTCAAGCTTCAAGAATCGATCGATCGGCTCATCCATTCGTATTTTTGTCCACCTACATTCGAAAATATCTTTGCACGAGAAAACGGTCTACCATACTTTCTAGTTCAACAAACCTTGACACGACCTTATTGTAAGGCAGATAATGAGTTCGACGGGTAATGCAAATAATGGGGAGAGTTCGTGAAAAGACGTTGCGGAAGAGAGGCGATAGGCTTTTCGGATGAGAACGTTCGAGTAAACTTGAGAGAATACGGATGGTACCGGTTCCGAGGTTCGTGAAGTGTCGACTATCAAAACCTTTCTTGGGCTGATCGTATACAGTGCTTGGTGCCGGGCGGTATTTCCCGGCACTACACGCTACTCGACTTGTCCGTAGTGTATAAGCCAGGCTGCAGGTAGATGAGTTGAAAATTTGAAACAGTAGGAACGAAAAAGGAAATATAAAGAAGGCAGTGCGTACGACCGTTGAACTTAAACCTTGAAATGCCTTAGTGTTCCACAGCGCGAAGGCGTTAATGGCTTCTCTTCTCTCCGGCTCCATAGGGCAAGCGTCTTCATGGTGGCTCGAACTCATGGAGCTGGATTCAGGCCTACTAGTAGTAGTACCTGCACATGTGTGGCAGTGGCATGGTTCAAAGAACCACTGGCAGTAGGCTGGGATTTCAAGATGTGATGCTCATCGCTGAGCGCTGATGTTCAAGATAAACCACTCAGTACAAATCAAAGATAGACTCGGCACAACCAGTAGCCGCATCCTTTCTCAGAGTACCGTATTTGGCTGCGGTCCGCACCATCACCGGCATACATACCACAGGGCATGTTGCGGCTTCAAGCACGCTCAGAGCAAGATGTCTATTATATCTCAACCCACGAACTCGGGCCATTCTTACCGTTTGAAGGATCTTCACCTTCCTGCCTTCCTGGCCAGGATCTTCTTGTCCAGGGTGGCAGCATGAGGCTCCAGGGTCTACTATTAATACCGTGGATCTCATCATTGCAGGCATCGTGCAGTAATTTCTGGCACGATAAGCGCCTGCTACTGCTCAAATAATGTCGCGGTAATCCTCTAGTCAGACGACAAGACCTTCAATGTGCTATCAGTGATCAGTTTTCAGTCTTTGGCCACCATGTAATCAAGGTTATGGGTACACGAGGTGTCGGTTTGAAGCCAAGTGCGTACACGGCGCTCCGACTCGGAGCTTCCAGTTAGCTCAGTGATAAGCCGCCTGTATTCGAATGGGTGCTATGATCTGGGACAAGAACCGAAAAGCACAAGCGCGTGCTTACCGCATGGGATTACCCTGCAGCACACTGCCCTCTAATTTGATCTCACCGCTTTCGCATTGATCTACCCGCTCCCTGTATTAAAGCGAGCAGAAGAATTGGAAGACTGAAGGATCTGTAATTTTGTCACATTGTCCAGAGTTTCTGTCGCAGGCAGGCATCACACAAATCCAAGTCTGTACCCCGTTTTTTCCAGACAAGATGTGGTTGATACCCTCAAGTCATCAACAACATATCAGGTGAGATTCCTCCAACGCCCGCATGATGTGATATCTGAGGTTTTCATTGGTGTAGCTCCCATCTCCATCATGCAGAGACGGATTCAAGCACCAAATCCTGCATTCAGACGACGTTCGAGACAACCGCCCATCAACAATTCGATATCACTATGTGCGATTTACCTGTCATTCGGAAATGATGGACTTACATGCAATGACAGGACTTGTCAGGTGGGACCAGAGACGTATGGCGTGCAAGTTTTCGGCATGTTCTGATAACTTCATGACATGACTACTCGGTTCTGATAAATCCCAGATATCGATCTTCATCACCTGCCCAAGATCGGGTGGTTGAATGTGGATCATCAATTCTACGTCGAAATATCCATTCATGATGTCAATGCGATCACGACCAGTCGTACGAGTCCGGAGAAGCCCAGCTCTACGCCATGGAGTAGTAAACATACCTTGTACGTCGGAGACTACTGCCTGATTCAAAAGCTGATTCAAAGAACAGCAATGTTCACAACTCTACCACGCTGACATTGAAAGTATTTGCTCATCGCCAACTTCATGATAATCAGTACATTGGTATGGTTGAGGGCTGTGTCGAGGAATTTTTGAGGTACCCTGGCGGTGAGTGATCGCGTCCTTGCGCAATGTATTTTCTGACAGTTCAATCCAGCCATTCTTGAACGACTGAAGTGCGTAAACCCCCAAGGCAAGGAAGAGCTGCTCAGAGCAAGCTTGGAGTTCAAGCTTACCCGCCTTGTGGGCGCTGGGAAACCTACTGATGGATCCCAGCGTACCGAAACTGATCACACAGAAGGTATCTGGAAGGGGCCCATAGCGAGTCATGCCTGTGGGGATGCAGTCAAAACACCACTTCCCGTGGCAGTGCAGATCTTCGGTACGTGATATCAGTTCGAATGACGGTTACTCTTGACAATTTGCGACGTCAATCAGACATGGACCTTCACCATCTGCCGCGAATACATTTGTTCTCGACTTACGACAGCTTCTATATCAATGCTTCCGTAGATGACCATGACTACATGTCCACCACTGCTGAGAACCTGCATTCCTTGCCGTGGACGACTGAGCTAAAACTGTGAGATACATTGTACCTGTGAGTTCATGACATTGACTCCTAGCAAGGAATGTACAGGCGTCGTCCAGAATTTCCCTCAAAGTCTTCGCAAAACGTCACCTCCATGAAGATCAGTACATTGGTATGGTACAAGAAGATGTCGAGACGCTTCTCGCTCATTCCAGAAGTGAGTTTCTGGTTACTATCTGATTGGCTTGCTCGTCGTTAAATACAACATTAGCTAAAATCTACCGCCTCGTGTCTTTTGATCCTCATGGCAAGAAACATTTCCTTTGTGCTAGCATGGAATTCAAGATCATACCTCTTCATAATGCAATCGAGCATGGCATCACTCAGCATGCTCAAGACCAGCTCGCCCGCACAATTGATGCCTCTAAGGATACATCAGATGAACCAGCCACGGGAGGCAATGGTCCAAATGAACCATTGACAGCGTCTACTGAGCAGGTCCTCGATGTCGCTGTCTCAGAAGTCCTTACTCCGCTCTTGGACAAGATCAGCATTTTCATTCAGCTTGCTGGCAAGTTCGCTGGGGTACGATCCCTTGACTTTGCCACTGAATATGTCTGATACTGCTCCCCTAGGCCCATCCTTACACCAAAATGGCGTTTATGATTCTCACTGCAGTATATCATGTAAGTGGGATAGTCGCATGTTCAGACCTAAGGAGCTCACCTATTTTGATTAGTTGGTGGATGCACAACTTGCCCGAGACCGAAGTATCAATCGGCTCATTACCGTTATGCACGAAACCTACAGCCTTGTCTCTGGCATAGAGGAACTGAAAAGGGTGGAATCGCAAGAAAAGACTATTAACTCCCTCGCTCGCCAGACGATCGAGTGCTCGTACTTTATCCGTGACTACCTGGAGAAAAAGAGCGGATGTGAGTCTCGCGGCTTCTTACCAAAGCTTAGCTTCTTTAACAAAATTCTTGAATGTAGGGAAACAAAGCTTTTCGAACGCGTTGTCCAAACTAGATGATAAAATCCTAACGTACGAAGTAACCTTCAAAGAACTCAAGAATGCTATACATCAGCAAGCCGCGATTCACACGGAACTCTACGTCTTTCGTGTTTATGATCTGTTGCATGACCATGGTAGTGTTCCATCTTCCATCTCTCTTCCTCGCATATATTCATATTACTACTAGCCGCGAAAACAGACCTTGACGCCATGCACTATGCTGTTGGCGCTTCGATTGAATCACAGAAGATCGGAGATGCGCCCCCACGAACCGACATCGTGGAGTCAATAACCTCATGGATCAATAAAGACGATGAACGTCAGATTTACCTCTTGCTAGGTTCAAGGGGGTCCGGAAAATCCACTATCGCACATAACATTGGACGCCAATTCGACGCCATTGTGCGTCTTGGTTCGTCGTACTGTTTTTCGCGCGCTGCCCGGGATAAGCGAAATGCTACGAATTTGTTCAGCACGATTGCACGGGACCTTGCTGATCACGACCCTCAATATATGAAGGCTCTCTGGGCTATTGTGAAAGACAAGCGCGCATTACGTGGATTGACAGACCCACTTACTCAATTCGATCGCTTTATCCTTATTCCCGCGAGTCAAATGACATGCATCGGCCCTGTACTGGTGATCATCGACGGGTTGGAACACAGCGGTAGCGAGTCAGATCGTAAAGACCTCCTGACTGCGCTCGCAGAGAAAGGAGCAAAGCTCCCCCGTAATTTCAAGTTATTAGTCACTTGCCGGCCAGAGGAGGACATTTGCGCTGCTTTCGAAGGAAAATCTCATGTTATACAGAAGCATTTGGAACATCACGCCGACTCACACTTTGTTCCACCACCAACATTGGGGAAAAACCAGACAAGCAGACCTAGGTCTCGCCCTCCTACGCCTCCTTTGTCTATCCCTGCATTTACGCGATACAACCTCTCACTTGGGGCTGACTCGTCGACAAGCGACTCTACTCCGGTATCGGATCTCTCGGACTCAGGCTCAGCAGTCTCTGCTGTGTTTGACACCTTGGACGATGGCAGTGATTCTACTGAGTCCCCTCCTTCCAGTCTCAGCTCCGTTGATGAGGAGCCACAGCCTTCACGAAAGGACGTTGTACAAGTTACACGCAGGAGCAAAGAGTTCACCGTAGAGGAGATCTTCGAAATTGATGGCCGTACCGTTCGAAGAACCAATTCGGAGAAGCTCGAGAGTTGGACCGTTAAGTCGCATGATCACTCTCAAAGTGGTCTGCTCCTTAAAGGATTCGTCACATCAGCAGAACCGGCGAATGATTTGCCGCCATTGCTTGGATTATCTGGATACAATAGTTGTCTCCCCAAACAATCTCGCCAGAAGCAGGTCCGGGAAAAGACTATTATTCGTCACTCCACGGATGTGGATGGGGCGGAAATATTGGGCCGGGTTGATGATCTCGCATGTCCGTGATACAATACGCCTTCAAGTTGTCATCTACAGTGCTACACATAATACTCTACTAACCTCGACGAACTCTCACCACAGATACTATACTGTGCGATCCCTACGTACAATGATCGAACGGCCGTTACTGCGCAACGTTCTAGTCTCCCCGTATTCCAGTTGAAGTTGAAAGTAGCGCTGTGCATGTGAGTCCCGACGGCACTTATCTTATTTATTGATAAATAAATCGACCACACGACCCTGAGGCCTTGAGGCTAATTGAAACCTTAACTTAAACAAGTACCCTCAAGCTCAAGTTCTGTCTGATCGAACTACTACACTATTCCGGAAATCTGTCACGGTAAGATGCCAGCATCACGAACATATCATATCACAAGTTTGCGGGAAACCACTTTTGCCACGAGTCATATGACGGTCGACCAAGTGATGCCATTCTACGATTAATGGGCCGGACGTGCAGCCAAGCTTCCCCTCAAACAGTAAGTTCTGGCAGTTAACTGATGCGGCAACATCGGTTTGCAATGGACGAAGCACAGCCGTACTGCGACATGCGTAACTGACGAGGTTTTTGATAGCCATCATTACGGCTCTCGATTGGCCAACGTTCTGTGACACATGCTATCAAGAAGGAATTATCATATTTCCTCCATATCGGTCTGCCCAGGGGACTGCAAGACCTCTAGCTTTGAGGACCAAATGTTCGGAGGTGGATGCCCGTGCGAGAACTGTCGCATTACTCGGCATGTTTTGACGAAACTGAAATTACTCTCAAGAATTTCAACCGTATCGGTCCCTCACATGCGGCAGCAACTCACTATTGATTAATCCCCTACACCATTGATCTATCCGAATCCTGATTTGCATAAATTCAGGGTAGGAAGCGCCACTCAGTTTAACGCCTTCCGGCCTGTCTGGTAGTACTACCTCATGTTTTCAGTGACTGAAAATAGCTGCCATGCCCGAGATTCGAGGCTCCAAATCTACGACAAGCGTTTATCAGACCGTAAATTTACTCGCTCGTCAAACCATAGAGTATGGATACTTCATTCGTGACTATGCCGTTCATAAAAGTGGATGTAAGCTATCGAGATTAAGCATGATGCAATCGCTGAAATAACAGTTATCCAATAAAGAATAGTATCGTCAATTTGTTCTCGAACACCGATGAAACCATTCAGGAATGTGAAGCTGCCTTCAGAAATATTTGGGTCGCTTTGGAGCACAGAACCGTTATCGACACCCAACTGGTAGTTCTCCGTGTCTATATGACATCTTGAAAGATCTTGGTACGTGATTCTTCGTTAGTCGGGGACAGCATTACTCATCAAGATCAGCCGCCAAGGTAGATATTGCCTTACACAACTGGAACCGCGTACCATGTTGTGTCACTGGAGGAAATCCATGCCACTGAGGTTTCGGACTGGGTAAATGACAAGAACGGTCTAGCAATTTATCTCCTGATTGGGCCTCTCGGATCTGAGACTGGCGCAGTTGCCCATGCTGTAGCTCGTCAATTCAACAACATATCTCGTTTAGCATTGCCATACTGTTTTTGCAGGTCACGACCCGGATTTTATGGCTTGTCTTGGGGATAAGGTGAAACGACGAGCAGTGGGCTCTTCCCCACAGAGTCCTACGCAATTCAGCTTCATCCTCGCACCGGCGCAACAGTTGACAAACTTTGGTCCCGCCACCTGGTTGTAACTGATGCGTATTGATTCACGTGCGGAGGTGGTCTTTGTCCCTAAGGAGAAGGCCCAATTTCTCCCACCTAGCTTCAAATTCCTAATCACTTGCCTGCCGGAGACTGACGTAACCATCACCCTTCGTGGCAAACACCATGTCATATCAAAAGAGCTTGATGCGGTTGTGACCAGGCAATTTCTCAACAGTGGTTTTATCGCAGACAGAACCAACCTCGTTCACTCACCCCTCCTATCCAGACCGTGATTTTTTCTTCCAGCGGACCTGCCTCAAGCGTTGCGTCATCAAGCAGCGTAGGCTCCTTCAATGTGCCTTCGATTTTCGATGAAGAGCTTCATACCTTTAGCTCTGATGCATCGTCGCCAGCGGCCAGCGTCACCCCATACACGGATGTAGGGTCACCAAAGCGGTTCTTCAGCAAATTTAAACACACCGAGACAAGAGAGAACTCTATTTCCTTTCATCAATCCGGTGTCTCAGATCGACACGCACACCATCGTGAAGCAAATTATTACACAACATGTTCGCCTCCGCGTCGTATCCCATCACATGCTCTTATGCTTAATGAGCCGAATGCCTTAACATTCACTTCAGATCCTGCTACTCCAGCTGGAGACACTTTCGGGGCTGTCCCTACTCAATGTGATAACCCTCGCTCACCAAGCCATAAAGGCACGCCACCCGACAAGAGACTGTCATCTGAAACGAGATGCAAACCACTGGATCTCATCGCATCAGTCTTTTTCATCATGATCTAGTGTTCTACTGAGTATACACGTCCCCAATGCCCTACATCATGTATGATGGGTGGGATCAGCTCATTATACTGAATAAAGTTTCGAGCCTGTCGCATGCCTTGGTGACACAGTAAGTAGTATTAATGTACGGTACTAGTGTGTACTTCAAGTATCGATATGATGTGGTAACACGAGTGTATGACGGCGCTCCATTTGGTGGTTTCGATGTTGCCAATAAGTACTTCGATGTGTACCTTTATTCGTACTATACCTGCATACCGTCGGCGTCGAGCATGCCTCGTCGAGTCATAGAATTCATGTAAGTACCTTTCCAAAGCCAATATTCTGCTTTATTTGATTTCGGACGCCTGCGACCCCCAAAGAAGGGGGTCGCATGACCCAACGTAGTTTTGTTATTTGCCACTGTCAGAGGCAGCCAGACGTGTTTGAACGATACGAGGAGGGTGTGGTAAGAGATGGCAGGAAAAGCCAAAGCACGGTATGTGGCCTCCTCATTATAGGAACTCTTCCCGACTTGACGATTTGCCTTGTAACAATCAACACCATTTTCGTTTTGCCAACGTCTTACTGCTAGAACGATCATCGTCCGCTTGATTTCCACTGCGCAAACAGGTTTTTTCTACACCACGCAGCGCCCAAGGCAGGGTCCGAAGCTCGCTGCCGTCAAATACGATCCTAAAGGTAGGTGTTAGTGTCCGGGCGGTTGTGCAAAATTCTGAAACTGGTTCATTTCAGTTAAAGCTCGTGTGCTCTTCGTCGAGAGCAAGAAGACGAAGAAGTAGTGAAATAGTCACTCCACATTTTCTGTTTCTTGGTAGCACCGAGAGATCCACGCCAACTTATGTTGAAACTGAGTAGTGCTCGACATCATACCCCACACTCGTGACAATACGCTATCTGCCGCACTATAATACATGTTCAATATAGGTGGTGTAGGAACCACAATTCTGCCCGCAGAAATTCTGTTCATACGGGACTCGATATAGGTTAGGGAGGGGTACACCTGAACTACACATGACACAATATATTTTACACGTCCCTGCTCACCAAAATGTCTGTCCTGTCTGAGGACTACTCGGTATATTCTGCGGCGTTACCCCACTCTGGGGAATTGATGTTGCCAACTGTGACTGAGTCGGCTTGGGAGCCTCTACCTCTTTCCGGTACTCGATTTTTTCGACACGGACTTCGCCTTCCACGAGCTGATATACGTACGTGACAACGACAGCGCCCTGAATGTCCATGAGCGCAAAGGATGGCGTTATTTCACTGAGGATATCAATTCAGTCGGTTAATGCAAATGAAATGGTACAAGGGCTGTACCCGTTATATGAGCCTGTCCATGCGCCAGTCGCGGACCCAGGATTCACAAAGAAACGACCATCATATTCGATTGCCTGGAAGCTTATTTGAATCACGTCAGAATGCCAGCTATCATGTGGAGGCTGCGGAGTCAACACACGTATGCGTATGCCCTGAAACGAGCACATCTACATCCATTTGCCGTGCCAATGCACTGAGAGCATCAAGGTCACCGGTCGGTACGCACTGATGCCCATGAATCACTCCGATTCGTATTGGGGTATGCACTATGGTTGCAGATGGCGGAAAGCTGGCGCTCTAGGTCGTCCGCATGTCAGTAATGACTCTAACACATAACATAACGACAAAATGACGAGTATGCACCTCATCATAGTCCCCTCGGACAACATACACATCTCCTGCTATAGTGCGCAGGTACTCGTAGGTCTCGCGGTCGCAAACATTCCCTGTGCAAAGGATCTGTTGAATTTTTCCTGGAACAAGCAGTTTACGGAATTTGGCTGGGAGGTCGTGTGCGCGGTGTGGGATGTGCAAGTCACCGATTATTAAGACAAGCACCATGTTGCACACAGCAGCAGTATCACGTATAATGGACTCCTGGAGGGAAGTTCAGCTTCGGCTGTGGGAAATCATTATATAATAAGTTGCACGTCATTATTGTAGAGATTGGATTATTAGACAACAGGATATAAAGCTAGCAACAAGTACATTACACAAGAGTAACAAGGTGCGGATACCAATAAACCATTCACAACACAGAAACCCGCAGAAGGGACGCTGAGGAAGCACCAGAAAGCAAACGGGGGCAGAGGGGCCACATGCAACACGAATAAAACAAGAGCATCGAGTACATATAAATGCAAATGTGTATTGCTGCGCTACGGGAATGGAAAGTGGACTCCGCACTAGTACATGAATTAGATGTTGGTGTAGCTCCCTGCAAAGTGAAGATAGTCAACGCCAATAGAAAGGAAAGAAAAGAAGGGACCCACAAATCCGCGCCTGCCAATCGCCGCTGCCGGTAGCCAAAATACTGCCCGCGGGGCTCAAATCAATAGAGATGACTGTAGTAGATTCATTAATGGGGTTCTCGGTCCGGAATCATCAGAACATTCGTACCAGAGTTCTTGTGTCCTTGGAGCATGCACTGTGTCGTCGCGGTGTGCGAGTCCCAGAACTGGACACCGCGGTCCTTGGACCCTGACACAACCCACTGCCCATCATGCGACACAGCAACGGAGAGCACGTAATCCTGCACAGACATGGAATGAGTTGGAACAACGGATGACATGTATAATGGGTCCGCGGCCGGGACTTAATTGCTTACCGTGTGGCCCAAGAAGTTCATAGTGCACTGGCTGCCCTTATCATCTTTCTTCCCATTGGCTACCGCCTCCTTGCGTTTGGCGAGAAGGCCACTAACGTCCCAGTACTTGAGAGTCTTGTCTAAGCTGCCGCTCACCAGCCCCTTTCCGTCGGGAGTGAACGCAACGCTGTAGACGCTGTCCCTATGACCCCGTAGGCGCTCGATGAGGGAGCCCGTTCCCACGTCCCAGATGCGCACAACAGTGTCTAGACTACCAGCCGCAACCAGTTGGCCATTTGGTGAGATAGCGACGGAGGTCACGCCTGCATCGTTGTTCACAGGATCGGCGTCATTGATTGTGAGCACTTTAGATGACCCATCAACCATGTCCCAGATACGGGCAGTTTTATCGCCCGATCCCGAGACGATAAGCCTGCCATCTAAGGAAAAGTCGAGTGAGTAAATCTCCTGCTGATGTCCGTCGAAAACGTTGCGGATGCGTTTCTTGGCAATATCCCATATCTGCAAGGCGTGATCAGTGCACGAGCCTGGTGAAACACAAAGTTTGGCGCACTCTGATTTGCTTATCTTCAGCGCCCGTTGCAAGATATTTCCCATCCGGGCTGAAACAAACACTTCTGATATACAGGTCACCTGCCTTTCCAGCCGATTCATCTGTAAGGACGCTATAGGTCCAAGGGTAATGAGATGAACTACTGCAGTCAAGATCGGAACCTACCAGGTCTTTACGCCCGTCTTTGTGTCATAGATCTGGGCCGTACGATTACAGCCGGTGGCGAGGTACTTGCCGTCTGCAGAAAATCGCACACAGCAAACGACACTAATGGATGGCACGTGGAAATGTAAATATACAGGAAGATGTGATCAGGAGGCTATGTTCGATCAAAGCCGATCATACCACGCACCTCTCGTGCATGAGCGTGTGCACTAGCGACACATCTAACACGCGCTTGACTTTGCCATTGAAGACCGCGAACCAGTCACTGCCTTCCTTTTTTAGTTCGGGCGGAACATTGTGTGGGTCGAGGTCATCCGGAAACTGCCCCCCACCACTTTGGGCGTTGTTGATAGGCACGAGGCTGCTTGAGCTGGCTGCTACCGGTTCTGCTGGACCGGCAGGTGACGGATTTCCAGGTCCAGGTGGATATGGTGCATGGGCGGCAGGTGGTGGTGGAAGACCTGGGCCTTGGAAAGTAGTCAAGGCAGGAGGTGCCCCAGGTACAGGGGGGAGCTTTGCACTCGGCGGTTGAAGAGAAGGACTATAATGATCTGTCGCAGATAAAGGGGGGGAAAAAGAGGTGGTATAGTACCCATGAGGAGGCGGCGAACGTGCGGAGCTTGAAGTGAATGGTTTACCTGGACGAGTATCACTCTTCATACGCTCAGTCTTTATGCGTTTTGAATCCCGAGCCTCCGCCGGTGGACGTTCGCGATCTCGGTCGCGCTCTTCACGTTGTCGATCACGTATTTCGCGGTCGCGTTCACGATCGGCACGTTCGCGGTCTTTTTCCCGCTCGCGTTCACGTTCGCGATCTCGACTGTAGTAAGGCTCGTTGTATGAGCCAGGACCGGGAGGCACACCGGTGACTGTAGGCGGAGGCGCAGGTGGACCGGAAGGTCCAACTGAAGCGGGACCGACAGGCGGATGTGGAGCTCCTGCTGGCACACCCTGACGAAGTGCATGAAGCTCTCCTCTGAGGCGACTCAGCTCCTCTTCATATGTCTGTCGAATCTTGCCATGTTGAGATTCCAGTTCATACAGTGACTGGCGAACGATGTTCAACTCGTTTATTTGTGAAGTGACTAAATGGACAAGATGTTGCACTCATACGTAAAACCGATATGTAGTTGAGGAGTCAAAGGTGCGCACCTTTAGATTCATACTCGTCTCGTTGGTTGCGAAGAATGCCAAGGTCAGAGGAGATAACATCAAATTCCTGACGGATGGTATCGACGGCCTCATTAAGCCTGGCATGACTATGCTGGTTTGGCCCTTGGGCGGGTGGAACCGTAGGCTGCAAGCTCCTATGCTATTAAAACAGGAAAGGTCAGCAGGAGTGCACGCCAAGAAAGAGCTCATAGCAACAGAGATAGAGAATTTTGTTCCTGGGTTAGCGCGCACACAAGGACCGTCATAGCTCAATTAGAGCTCAGGATTTGCATTGGCCACGATATGTGGCAGGACCTGTAGTAAGGAAGAAGAAAAATCAGATGGGAATACTCACGTTGTATATTGTGGAGGACATGAAGGGAGGTTGGGAACCACGGAATGGGTGTTGATCATCGCCTTTATAACTGGCGTTGGACCCTGATACTCTGATTCTTTTCTCACACTTGACACTACCGGCGGCATGTCCTATTTGAGTTGTAAAGGTACAATCACGTGATTGGTAAAGAAATTTAAACTCAGCGGCACTAACCCTCTTCTCTCCCTCTGAGTCATTTCAGGCGGTTGCGATGCCCAGGATAGTCGGACTTTGCCATTTAATACGTTAACCGCACATAGTCTCCGTGCTTGCAGGACGGACTGCTCTCATCAGGCAACATAATCTCCGACTGTCCAGCAAACGAGGCGATGTGTGGCATACTAGGGTATCATCGTTCCAATTCCATTGCCGTACATCAACTGGCAGCACCGGTTTCCTTTTTTTTTTCAAATCTGGAGGACCATGGCCCGCTATCGAGCTCCGAGCCTCATCCGGAATCTACCTAACAAGTGAGTACTTCGACTTCGCACGTATAAGCCTGATTTAGCATCGCGGTAGCAATTTGTTCGGCTACCGTCCTTTGTGCTCAAAGGAAGTGAAAAGGTCATCAACTTCGTACAGGTGTGAGACTTTAAGTTATCCCAACAGTGTCTTTTGTCTTCGGCACTTGGTCTATCAGCGCTGAAGCGCTGATTTCGAGGACACTAATTTTACCCGTGGGAATAATCCCAACATTTCATATGGCTGGCAGATCCGAGGCTATCTGAGGCTTTACGGCTCTGCTCGGCATCCACAAGAAAAAGATATATCCCGGACAAGTTTCACACAGAAACCTGCACAACGGAAGGTTAAACCGTGCTGCGATGGGGTGCGGCTCCGTAGGACCGTATCAATCCTCGAGATCCAGTACTTATTGTTGATTATGATAACACCATGCCACCATATGCGTGTCGTAGCAAGCATTTTGTGGTTTCAGTTCTTTCAAAGGGCCCGGTCATTACATGATGATTGTTATGTTCGGGCCATATAAATAGCAGTGGCCTGCAACAAACATGCAACGCCACCCGACAGAATATTTCAGCTCCATTATCTGTGAACTGAATTTGAACTGAATAGATGAGAATTGAAGATGTTGCCTATTATCGGTCATCATACCAGCGTTAATCCGGTATTCATCCGCTCTGTGCTTTCGTTGGTTCAGTTTCTCCATCTCACTACAATCGCAGGGTGCCACGAGTCAGGGCAATACTTCAGCCCCCTGGCAGGTTCGTTAAGATGTCTTCTAGTCAAAAGTCTAGCCGAGAACAAATTTGAGGGTTCTTGACGTTAATTCACAACTCTCAGGACTAGCCTGCAGTCCAGAACCAAAGTTTAATTATAAAGCTCGTTCACGAACCCTTCTTGAGAGTGCATCTCATTTCCTCGTTCCACAATCCCTTGAGCTTGTAGGCCTCTTGTGTTTGTCTCGAACACATCTCCCACACTCACAACGCCCGAATCGCCTAAATCATTTACACGTCGCATGGCTGATGAATTAGACTCGACGACAGTACCTATGGACTTTGTCAAGGAAGGAGGTGATTGGCTTGCTATATTTAATCCCCGCGTACCACGACAGATGGATGTGCAGCTTGCTGCGCGGTACGTTCATGACGGGTGCGTTTGTTTGGAAGACTGATGCGGCTTCACTCCAGTCTGACACCGTTTTATGAGTTAGTGTGGTGTGTAGTGTGAAGTTTTCCTTGGACGGGACATTGCTTGCAGTAGGCATGGAGGGTGCCGTTGTACTTTACAACTTGAGTCTCGGAGAGAAGTTTACGTGAGTGCTGATTCTGTCTTCTGATGAACAACACTTGGCAAGCTGGTAGCGCAGCTTCACACTGGAGAGAAATATCGGAAAACCAAATCATGCACGAGCTGTTTGCATCAGTCCCGATGGACATTTCCTTGTTGCTGGTTCTGAAGACAAACTCATAAGAGTGCGTGCCAGAGACTGAAAACTTGTTCATCTGAGCACTCATAATGCTATACAGGTCTGGAACATCACGAACCGCATGTTGGTGCATGCTTTGGAGGGGCACTGCGGAGAGGTATATGCTGTGGTGTTTACACCTGACAACAACACCTTGCTTTCAGCGTCCGGAGATTGCACGATCCGCATTTGGGATGCGACTCAATTTGCTGAGACTCCCGACGCTAGCTCAATTATCCTCGATGAAACTATGGAGGCCGCCTGTCGTGTACTTCGCCCAATCAGCCCTGATGTCAAGCTCTCATCCGAGCTCGCAATGACATCTATTGCTGTCGACTCAACTGGCAAGTTTGTTGCTGGGGGATCACTGGATGGAATGATTCGAATCTGGAAGGTTGACGGCACCGAGGATAACAGCGCGGAGCCGGTGGAAACACTAAACGGGCATGAGGATGCTGTGTATAGTGTGCAGTTCGTTGAAGGTGGATTGGTAAGCGCAAGTGTGGATCGGACGATGAAACACTGGGACATAAGTGAAGTGGGTGTTGGTCGCAGAGAGTGTCGAAAAACTCTGCAAGGGCACAAAGTATGTGACATCTGACAAGACCTCGATCCCAGTATTGCAACTGACCTTTCACCAGGACTGTATCCTCGCTACGTCTGCACTTCAGGTTGGAAGAGATCAACGCGTCGTGTCCTCGTCTCGGGATGGGACGGTGAGGATGTGGGACTTGAAGACGGGGATAGTGCAGTTCGTGATTCAGGGTCATAAAAACACTGGTACACAACCGAACCACCAAACCTCTGCATTTTATTTTAACGTTCCTTTCTCAGTGACGACTGTGGACCTCAGCAAGGACGGACGGCTGTTAGCATCTGGTAGCGGGGACCGTGAAGTACGGCTATGTAAGCGTGAATTGATATCGTGTTTGATGGACCTCTAACATAGCGCCGACCGTCATCAGGGAGCTACTCGATTGTTTGAGAATGTCTGGGGAAGTAGTATCACTATAGTTTCCCAACAACAAACGGATCAACTATATCAGAGCTGCAGCCACAGCGCGGTGGGGTGGGCACTGATGATTTGGTGCTCGCATCGTCTGTCGCTTGTGGAGCTGGTGCGTTTACTATGAGTACAGATATGTTCTTTGATATCATTGTTTTGTCGAAGATTGCTAGATGGGCCTCATCTATCAGTGCGCGAAGTATGTCGCTGGATGTATGTATGGCTCTGCGCAAGGACAAGGTGTTGGGGATCCAGATGCCGGCTGTATAACATAAGTTAACTCGGTACATCAAGCTGTTTGTCGTAATTCGGCCTCGGTCACGAAGCTGATGTGACTTGAACTGCATTTTAGCGACGCTTAGCGGTGCTCGGATCCCAGGTGAACACAAACCAATAATAATTGGGCAGCCCTTTTAGCTGCTTTTATGTTCAAGAACCACACTACTTCGCTTCTGCTCACCCCATATGTGTATAAAGGTCGGGATGACGTGGATCCTCATGTCCCAGCGCGTCTTCGCCGAGATAATTATTTCGCCCTTCTGGTACCAGGGCCGTTCACTATGAAACTTGCACATTCCTTTACATCTCTTCTCGCGCTAGTGTCGCTGGTCGCTGGCTCACCGGTCCAGCAGCTGAACACTCATGCTTTACGCCTGCCACTTGAACGTAAGAACATCGAGTTGACGTTAAGAGTCTCCAAGCGCACCTTGCACAAGTCTCCGCGTATGTGCACAGCTTCAATCCCTGTTCGCGATATCGACCGATGAATTTAGGAAGTACCGTCGGGGGTTTGCGGCGTATGAGGCCAATAAGGGATACGCCCACCCGTTGAGCATGCCATCTAGCTCAAAATCGACGAAGCGAGATGCTGGCGATGTTTCTTTGATGTCTCAAGATGTCGACTTGTGGTATGCCTCGATCGATGTTGGCACGCCGGCGCAGACTTTCACAGGTGCGCATGTATCACCATTCCTTTGAGGTAATACTGAGTAATATTCAAAGTGTCCATTGACACGGGCAGCGCGGATCTCTGTAAGTTATTTTCTCCAGTCGTGAACTTTTGCTCACCCTTCCCCACTCAGTCCTTCCTTCCGTTAATTGTAGTGATAGCTGCAACGGCCACAATAGATATGATCCATCCAAGTCCTCAACAGCTGATGATCTCCACAAAGCATTCGTGCTCACGTTTGGTGAAGGCGAAGTTGAGGGGGAACAAATTGCTGACAACGTGGTAATTGGGGGATATGAGGTAATTATTTTGGGTTCAGATCATACGTGGGTATACTAACCATGACCAGGCTAAGGGACAGACCCTCGGGGCTGCAACAGTCTATTCCTCAGACTTTTCAAGTGAAAATTTCATACCCGACGGGCTTGCTGGCTTTTCATTTGAGTCTATATCCGGATACCCAGCACCTCCGCTCTTTCAGACTCTGGTAGAAAGTGGACAATTTCAGGAAGCTGTGTTTGGTGTCAAACTTTCCGCCAAACCCGGTGCCAGCGAACTATATCTTGGAGGGACCAACACGGCGCTGTATCAGCAAGGCAATATGTCGTATACACCTGTAACTGAAGCAGGCTACTGGGAAGTCACACTCGATCAGATATCTCGAGATGGCATCCCTATGGGGGCACCCGAAACATCATCCATCATCGACACGGGAACAACTCTGATCGTGGCGGATACAGGTGATGCTGCAGCCTATTTTGATGGCATTCCTGGTGCTACGTCATATACTGATGAATCTGAGGTGCTTTATTCAAGTCAGTGTCGATACAAGGTCTCCACCTTGCAGGCTAATGCTAACATATTCAGTTCCGTGCGATATAATTGACAACTATGCGCCGACCCTCACCTTTGGAGGCCATCCCGTTACCGTGTCCGGGGACACGTTCAATCTCGGGCCTACGGAAGAGAGATCAAGTGACTGTCTGGCTGGCGTCGCAGGCGCGGACGTTGGTAAGACTTCGTGGACGTGGATAACGTGCAGTACTCTGATCCAGGCTTCTCTATTAGACTTCTGGATCGTGGGCGACGTGTTCTTACAGAACGTGTACTCGATCTTTGACATGGGCGAATTGCGAGTTGGATTTGCGGAGCTCGCATAAGGCTTATTAGGGCATTTGATGAGAGTTGTGGGAGGAGTTGTGGATTGGATATTTGGCTGTTTTCATGGGTATTTATACAGACCTTCGACAGTAGTAACTACTAACTAATTCTTACTGTGCATACGTATACCAGCGTATACCATGCACACTGTACTGACAGCGATCAATAAGAGCCGCGGGGTTTGAAAAGTGCTTCGGGAAAATATCTGCACTAGGTGATGTAACTTATAACGTAGGGAGTTGTACTTGCATGAAATTCTCCATGGACTCCAACACAGGCTGTCGAATCTCGATCGATGTTCCCGGTTGCGAATGTTTAGTTCCAGTTTGGTTTTTGTGTAGCTGTGCGTCAGTGGTCAAAGTCACGCAGTGGTGAAAATAACACCTCGATTGTGGTACATCTATGTCATGGATGGCGCTGATAGATCTTCAATTGACAGAATCCCCGCATTTACTACGCGAGCGACCCGAGTAGAAGTGGTTCCAACTTCCAAGGCGACAAAGAGAACAATAATCAACAACGTACACGCATCTGTGAAAGATTATACTATGTTCTTTTTGACTGTCTCGTCCTTGCGTCCCAGCGCAAGATGAAGATCTCATCCCCCTTTGCTTCTCTGCTAGTTCTTGTCTCTATCGCTGCAGCATCACCTGTGCCTAATGGCTATGGCTATGGTGTTATTCGATTTCCTCTTACCCGCAAGAGCGCTGACGTCGCTGGGCATGTGATACGAGTGTTCTTAATGCACAGCTCATTCACGTCTTGAAGTAAGTTCAAACCGATTTCTACATAACCCTCAACCACCGTATCAATGATCGCTTGCAATCCCTATAATCCAGCAAGTATCGTCAGACATTTTCTGCATTCGAGGGCTAATACCGGTTCTGCTCATCCGTTGAGCGGGAAGATGATGTCTTCTATAAGAAAGCGCGACGATGGTGTTGTTCCGCTTATCAACGAGGGATATGACTGTGGTATGGCGAAATTGATGTGGGGACGCCAAAACAGAAATTCAACGGTTAGATGATCCTACTGTCAGCATTGGAACGAACATCCTTGCTCATTGATCTTTATCTTAAGTATCTATCGACTCAGGAAGCACGGACCTTTGTAAGTTCATACACTTGACAAGAGGTTTGTCTTGATCTGAGGCTATTTTTGTTAGTCCTTCCGTCCGTCTCCTGCATGAATTGCGCAGGCCACAAGATGTATAATGCTGCCCAGTCTTCTACAGCAAGGATGAAGGAAACGTTTCCGTGCTCTCATATGGTGAAGGTGAAGTAGTAGGAGATGAATATAGCGATGATGTATTCCTTGGCGGCTACGAGGTGGCGCAATATCTCTTTCTTACATTGCAAGGACTGATTTTCGTTGCCAAGGCCCCCAACCAAACATTCGTTGCTGCCTCTTTGTACTCTGTCCAATTCGTTATACCCGGGTTTCCTGCCTGACGGTTCTTGTCGGTTTTGCTTTCGAGCAATTATCTGCTCTTGGGACGAAGTCTGTTTTTGAGACAATAAGCGACAGTGGCGTACTCCCAGAAAGCGTGTTCAGCGTTAAACTTTCTTCTACATCCGGGGAGGAGCGAGCTCTATATCGGAGGGACGAACCCCGATCTCTACGTTGAAGACACCTTGACTTATACGGCCGTTACCGAGGAAGGGTACTGGCAAGTGAATCTAGAAGCGGTTTCGCGAAATGGCTCTACGGTTGCCAGTAACAGCGCATCTATTATCGATACCGGGACCACGTATATCATCACGAGTGATGATGCAGCAGAGGCTTACTACAACGATATTCCAGGCTCAAAGCAGCAGTACTCAAGAGGACGTGACATATTATACCAGTTTGCTCGATCCTTTGCAATTAATGACATGTGACTGACTTATTCCCTAGTTCCGTGCGACACGATCGGGTCATACACTCCCACACTCACATTTGGTGGGCGTGGCTTCAATGTTTCAGAGGACACGTTCAATATTGGCCCGGAGAGCAGTGGTTCAAGCGACTGTGTGGGAGGTATTGCTGGGATGTCAGATGTTGGTGAGTACTTCATATCGTGCGCAATGTACGCAAGCCAAGTCCCCCCTTCTCATCTATCCGTTTTAGACTTTTGGGTTGTTGGAGGCGTTTTCCTGCAGAACGTTTACACAGTATTCGATAACGGAAATCTTGAGGTGGGCTTTGCTGAACTGGCATAATCCTCAGCTTCTTCGTCCTCTGCGATTAGTCGTGGATTTTCCATAAGGACTTGGCATGAATATCCTCGTTTTCGATTACAAGTTTGGTACCTGTGTATCATATACACCCTTGCCTTCTGCCAGGATTCACCGTTTATTGTCTTCCTTTGTTGAATACCGACAAACGCCAGCTGAGTGATGTGCCCTGAACAAGGCAACACCAGTGTCATCATTAGGAATGTCGTACACATAGTTTAGGCTCTGTACGGACAGCGAAAAGTTTAAGATCGAACAGAAAGTTACCTGCCGTCGGTCGATTCCCGAAATGACGGTTCCCTGATCGTCTACCTTAGTTTAATACAAAAACTGCGGTTGGGCTAGAACCGAGCATTAGCTGATAGGCAGGCTGTTGAATGACCATGTGTATTGAGATAGATAGCTGGACATCAGGTTCAATTACCAACAATCGAAACACGATGTCAACGTCAACTTGTAAATAATGGGAATGGAGGATGGGCGCCGGCTGAGGAAACTGTAGATTCGAGCGAGCGGAATGTACGGTCCGGGAGGAAAGACAAAGCAACCACAAAGACAAAGAAAAGAGCAGCTCCTGCGGTGCCGGTTCCTTCCGAGCACAATCGATCACCATAATTTAATTTTGGCATTGTGTACAAACGATCGTTATCTTCTACACTTCTAGTGACTTTATCACTCAAATCCAGCAGAACATCAAAGGGAGACTGTGTTTTGAATGAAATCCACAATTTCTTTTCTAATAAGGGGACGTGGACGACCGGTACTAGTCACTAGTAAGTGAACAAAGCGAAGGGTTGATAAGCACGTTCTGATTTTTTCGCATTTGACACTCACCCACAGTATATAAGATCCAACCTCGCTGAACCTTCTCTCCGTCTCTCGTAGTGGCGTACCGGTAGTACGCAGATCATCTTGCTTCCCTTTCCCAGCGGGCCTTACGAAGGCGCACGTTCGACACTAGAGTTCGTGGTCACTGGTGAATCATAGTGTTTACTCCCATCGGGGACTGACTTACTGCTGAATCCCATCACCTTGTCCTCTTCCTCTTCCTCCTCCCAATTTTCATCGCTCATGTCAAATGAGCCAGCGGCTGATTCTGGATTTGACGAGTAAATCCAGTCTCTTCTCAAGGCGAGTTTATCTTTCTGTAAAATTCGGTTAGTTTACTCATTCCATTCATAGGATAAATTAGCTCACCTCCATCTTGAGGATACCTGGGCACTTGCCCCGGTGCTTGACCCACAATCCAGGATAGTACCTGGAGCGCTTGTCGAGGCTGATGGCCTTCTGACATCCGCGGCACCAGACAGATGTAGGTTGTACATCCTCGGTGTATTCGTCGTTCTCCAGGTCTTCTTTCCGCTCGCCCTCCTTTTCTTTCTCCGCTTGCTGGGGCCCGCGGTGACTTCATCATCGCGGTGACCGTCATCGGAACCCAAGCTCTTAGGCGCAAGCTGTGGAGGGCTCGGTGTGCATGGTGTACTGTGGGTGTTGGAAGGGGGGGTATGAATGGGCGAGCTCATAGAAGCCGCCTGTGCACACGGGATAGTGCTCATCGATAAGGCAGTTGATCGTGGGCCAGTCAGTGCCATCATCATAGACAAAAACGACTGGACATCCGTGCCTGCCGCAATTTAACGTGTGGGTGGGGGCGGCCGTTTGTTCTATGATGTTGTGTTGACTGGTGACGCAGTCATTGTCTGTCGAGTACATGGCAGCTGAGGGACTGGTGGTTGATTTTTGCATTTTTTGTGCTGGAAAAAAAAGCCCTTTCAGATGTAGGAGGAAGTTGTTGCAGTGGCACGAAGTTTTCTATTCATTAAAGGCATGCCTCGGAGTTGCATTGTTCACCCTCGAATACACGTGGTATTTTTTTTTGATTCCGACTTTCGTCCATTAATGGGACAGCGTGCCCTATGTCACACAGTGCTAACCAGTTTAAGGGGTGCGGGTGCCTCTGCAACACCTGAACTCGCAAATATGAGGTTCCCCCCGCCGGTCCGCCGTTCCCGCCCGAGACGTGCAGTCCATCAAATATGGGTGACTGATCTCTCCGTAGCGTGCAGTGTAAGTGTCTACGCCGTAAGGTACACGTGTAATTCCAAGGCGGGCAATCACACTCATGAAAGTCAGTAACAACAGGCTAATGTGCTCTGTAATTCTCTTGTCATTCTTCTAGATCTGAGATTGCCGTTCTTGCAAGATGCTCGTGAACGTATGTACATAGTGAGTAAGCTGCACGATATTCCTTATACATTATGGTTCATCGGATAGAAGGGTAAGGTCTTTGAAGTGAGTAACCTCGGATTTATCGATACGAACAACGTGCTTGACAGCCCAATCCAAGATTTTCTCATAGTTCCTGCATTGGTGGCCGCAGCGGGTGTTGAAGTTAAGGTATGGGATATCGTGTCCCTGATCCCAGTCCCATGTTATCATCGTCACGTCGGCACTGTAGATGATATTCTGTCTGATCATTTCAATGCAATGATCTGTGACATCGTATACGATAAGCAGGAGGTGCACGAATGAAAAAAAAAGTATGTAGTACCAAGATGCATGTGGAATACTTCAAGCTATCCTGGCCCAAGCGGCACCAATTCTGGGGAGGGAGGGCTATGATGAATAGAAGGAAAGTCGAGAGTTACATTGAATCTTACGACCATGGAGTCAACAGCATCACTTGCTGGAGCTGTGACAGATCATCAATATGTTAACTGTCGGAGGATGTCTATGCGCTCACAGTATACAGGAATGTCGTCATGCAGGTGGGGCGAAGGCGTGCTCATCCATAGCGCGAAAAAGAGCATCGACGTACATATCAACGAAAACGCAATGGCTCAACACAGGCCACACGCGAAGGATATGCGACTGGGGACGAGGTTCTGCATGGAATATTTCTGCATCACCAAATGATTTCTCCTCATCATCGTTGTCAAAAGTATCGACTGGAAAGTACTGAGAATCTTTGATCATGACTCTGGGGGAACTCTGTTTGCTGAACTCGGGAGTTGCAGGGATAGTTTGGAACACGCGAGGGTACTAGATGCGATACGTATCTTGAGAAATATTTAGGAGTGTATTGATTTCGAATATATCCCCCAGTCAACTGTGTCTCAGGTGTGTTGTACAGCAGCTCCACCGGTGCAAGAGTCGCATGCCCCAGCAGAGCGCTGGAAGGGAGGTAGTATTCAATGGGGAAACGCAAGCCCGGGATGATCGGAGAAGTGCGAGGAACTCGGAGAAGCCTGAGATGGATTTGATCGAAAAAAGTCCAAGACTCGGCGTAGATACTCGTGGACATATGAAAATACTACCTCTGTAGGCAACATTAATGGATCGCGCGTGATGCCCCGTTAACGTTCAAACGTTCAGGCCCAGGCCTCAGGATTACCGGCACCTTGCACAAGCACTGATGCCGAAGATAGGGGCGAAATGACATCATCAAATTAGATTAGCTCGAACCCATTTTCCTAAGCCCACATGTCACCATTCATTGTTCACCATCATTATCATACACCCATTACTGATCAGGGGGTCTTTCTGGAATTTCTTTCAGAGACGCATAATAATATCCTCGCATGCTCTCGCATTCTCCGGAACTACGCTATCAACTCACTTCCAGACAACCCGACTGATGAAGCTATAGAGGCTAGGGTGACAGAAATTAGTCGTTACCTTACACAGTATCCCCCTGACATCCACGTGGAATCACTTTTCGAGTTGGGTTGGCCGGATACCATTGACACTCGTCTTAGCACCACCGCAAGACGAGATGTCAAGGGGAAGGCCTACGTCGACCGTACGCTGTTCATTGCTTGGATCGCATTGAAGAACGAGCAAGTTGGAGGAACAATATCCACCGATAAACTTCCAAGACTCCAGTATGTCTGTCACTATAACATCTCCCTTAGAGCTAACTGTGACTCTGCTTTCAATTAGCCTTCTCACATTTCTTATGAAGGCTACGCTGGTACATGAAGAAGCCAAGGTGGTGAATTCAATCTTTGCGGACGGCCCAACTTCCAAAAACATCAAGGATATGGGATGATACTAAGTCGACTCACATTCAAACGGAGGACGATGCCACACAGTTGTCGTTGTGACTCGAGTAAATGACTCCGCTGGAATAGACAACATGTGAGAGGTGAACACCACGAGAATATCACAACTGATCAGAGCAGGATTGTCACGCGTGTTCTATTCAATGTCCAGCAAACAGTTTGGCACGTGGTAGATAAAGCTACGACTTGTTACTTTTCCGATTCGTTGTAGTACAACGAATCAGACGGACGAAGCTGGAGGCATCAAAATCTTCCAGAGAACTTGAACAGCACGCATCCCACGCATGGCATCAGCCAGATGGTCTAAGGCAATAAAGAAACTCGAGCGTCGGGATCACGTGGTACAAAAGCTGCCTACTCTTCAACAAGTCTTCAGTTCAATGCAAATTCGAGAGCGGCGCGTAGCGGTAGTTATATAGCATTAAGACAGTGAATGCATGGCTCTGGGAACGGGTTGAGCCATCTGCATGCAATAAACGTCGAATCTCGTAAGTAAACATATCAAGATAGTGTTGGATCCTTCATGAGATGCCCCAGCACCCCTCCCTCAATACTCGTCTCCCATAACTCCACCTTTGCCCGCTCGATCTCTCCAACGATCTGTCGGCGACGTTCCCGTGCGCACTGGAGAATGTCTTCTTTATGAACCGCCTTGAAGCCGGCGCGACGAGGAACGGAAGGAGTCAGTTTGTGCATAGATTGAACCGACGGCGAGCGAGATATTTGAGGAGAGACTGGCTGCAGGTGCGTCAATGGCGAGAAACAGGATGGGGTAGTTTGAGGATATGACGTGAGTACTGTCGGCGAAATGTCTATGTGTGAGGGAGCAGGCGAAGGTACAACAGGTCTCGTAGCAAACTGCAACAACATTTTGGCAGCAGCCACTGAATCTACGCCATTCACGCGAAACAGGTGAGCATATTCAGCTATCCAACTATCTTGAGACAATGCACCTTGGTCATTATATGCAGGCGGGGTGAGAGCCCCATCAGACGATTCGGTAGATGTGATTGGAGAATGGACGAGTGCGGGAACCGGGGAAGATGCATTGTATGTGACTGATGGCGGAACGGAAATAGCAAGAAGTGCAGGATCAATGGTGCAGTCTGGAATTATATGCTGAAAGGTATTGATAGTTGTAGGTGATACAGGAGATGGTGATGACGTGTGCCTGGAGGGTTCAGAGGCGCGCACGGATGACTGCGAAGATGGTGGAACCTGATCATCATCAAGCGGAGATGACTCGAAAGCAGCCTTGATCAACTCCACAAGCTGCGTAATTAGATGCCTCGCACGCTCCCGCTCCCATGTAGCGTGATATGCCTTAGGGCCCTCACCTTCAGGAAATGGGTAGGGCACATCCCACTCCACTGCACCAGCAGGGACGCTTGTGAGTTTGCGACGTTTCAGCAGGGGTGGAGCAGTCGTTGCGGGCTCACTGCATTGGCGCGAAGATGCACGATCATTGGTAGAAAGTAGCTGTGTGGACGCAGCTGGAGAGTTGCCCAGGAGTTTCACGATGCTTGATAACGCAGGAATATATTTTTCTGTCTGATGAGGGAGGTGATAGCATCTTCTCCATTGATAGAGGTGAGCTGAGTAGGATCGACATGAGGCAGGGCGCGTCGGATCAGATTCCTCAATAATGATGGGGTTAGAAGGCGTAGACCCGCGGATTGTTTGTTGCGGAAGGCTGGTTGGCTTCACGTTTCCGACGAGGCCAGCTATGCCTAATAACGCTTCCTGGTTTCGTAAGAAATTAGAAGGTAGTAGTTCATCTGGGCCAGGGAACGGTATAGGCGGGGGTGCAGGACGGGGTGTTGCTGATTGTAATTTCGTTGTTTTGCGTTTTCCCGTGGCCCTCGAAGAGGGGCGAGATGTCGAAAAAGGTACCGATGAGGCAACACGAGGCGATTGCGGCGCTTGCAAGGTGCTTTTCACTGGCAGCGCGTGCGAGGGAGGGAGGCTCGCGAGTGTTAAAGCTGCCGAACGGCAAGGCTAATAGGTCGGCTGGTAGTTCAGAACATGACATATGAGAACCAGGAAGTGCAATGGCCCCCACATTTTGTGTTATGCCTGCGCCCCTCTCTTGGGCTGCTTGAGCGGGAAACGCCGGTGACCTACCTCTAGCTGGAGACGGAGGCGGCGAGCCAAAGAGAGAGTCTTCATCATCTTCAAACATGCTGCAACTTGCAGGTTGTATGAGTGATTGGGCCATGGAATTTACGGAGAGGGACACCTTAAAAAAGTTGTTCTGTGGGTTTATCGATGAATATCGGATAACTCCAGATGACAGTAATCGAACACGATTTCAAAGTTATGGCTAGATCAAAAACGCGATCCGTGTCAACAATATAGAACTTCAAGTCGAAAAGTTAGGCTCACAAGCATGAGATCGATTTTAAAGCAAAGGAAGCAAACTGCTGAGAAACGCCGAGCTCGCTTTTGAGACCGATGGTGACAACGTCGAAGTAGAGTCGATCGGAGGTGCACTGGAAAGAATTTGGTGAGTGTTGAGTCAAACATGAACAAACATAAGTATGTTGGATATGCACGTGACACGGTGATACTGAATTTGGGACTTTCGGAATTTCGGGCGGCTCGGAAATGTTTGGAATTTATGCCGATGCAGCTTCGAGGTAGAGTTCAATATTGTCATCGAAAGTCTTGATCAACGGAGCAAAATTCATGTGCGGGAATGAGACCAGAGCAAGGCACGATCCCTTCATCAATGATGTTGTGTCGCGGGAGCATGCGATCGTTTGAACTGATCAGGATTCGTAACAGCCTGGCGTCATTGTTAAAAAGTTGAGTTGACAAATAGTGAACAATAGCATATGTTGACTAGACTCTGATAAAGCCGATCGATGATCACGGACGGTCCCGTGCACTTGAAGTGTATCTAGAGTTGGTCATCATAGACTTGGAGAGTGACATACAGAGATGCGTGGTAATATACATGATACATGAAGATATCGAGTTTAGCGTAGGCGAGAGTAGGGATGGAATCTGCTACTGTGACGTGGAGCCAGCTTGTCATGAGTGGGATGATGGGGTGGTACCTTCGCAGAAGTCGTAAAATTTATCTGCGTTCGCTTCGATTGAGAGGAAGCAGTTTGCTCTGAGCGAGCTTTTTGCAGCGCGGCTTTGAAGCAGAGATACAGGCGCCCACATGCATCGCCGAGAACCACGGTAAAAAAAAATTGACCACGGAACAATTTGTAGAACAAATGGCCAAGTGCGAAGAGATGCCAAAGGCGAGGGCATGAATGACTGTTATGAGAGTAAGTAACTTTACGTACCGATGTTGTCCGCAAACCATTCAGGGCGCATATCATCTGGATCCCACATATCCTTTGGAAAATTCGTCGTACGCTCATCGACATCCACAAATTCTACCAGCTTAGCATATAGATGGGGATTGCGGAAGGATCGGTTGGACATAAGTGAATCGTTAAAATGCTTGGGATGTTCAGAATCTTGCTTTAAAGTATGAAACTGTGCAAGTTTAGCCTGAAGAATAATCAGAAAGATCCCCATGAGTGAAAGCGCAGTCGCACCTGAATCGTCGGGTCATGGGGAGACAAAGACGCTGGCGAAATGCCCCAGTCTGTGAAACCCGGAATTGGTAGTGGTCTTAATAGTTGTCGGAGGTGAGAGATTTCATCAGCCTCCTCCGGAGATCTAGTCTCAACGTGTTCCGTGTTCGGAAACGCATCGGGCACGGACGCTGGACTGAAAGCCCGAAGGCTTTCTGAACCGCCTACGATTTCATCTGATACATGAGCACGGGGGTGACCTCTCTGCTGCGCTGGCCGACGAATGATTACTTGAGACTTTGGTAGCAGGCGGGCTGGGTTGGCTGGGTTCCATCTTCAACACGGCACATATATGCATCACGTTATACGGTACGTACCATCTGAGAATGAGTTTGATACACTTTTCAGCGCCTTATCCTATCTCATGAAGAACGACAGCCAACAAAGAGGGAAACAATTGCACAAGGCTGCGATGATGAATCTCTTACATTATTTAGATATATTCCCACACTGGTCTTCGAGGATGAAGCGACCATCTCCTCCGAGTCGCTTTGCGAGTCATCTCCATAGGTGTGAAGACCTATGAAAAATATGAGCATAATAACTATGTCGTGTTCAAGAGAATTGTGCTTGCCGTTCATGAGGGTAAAGGACGAAAGGCAGATTGTAGCGTTTTAGAACTCCGCACCACATTTCCTTCGCCGAGTTGCCGTTACGGCGTTATTAGCTACTGTTCTTCACTTGTCAGTGTCAGTTGTGTTCTCCATGCGTTTCCGGCTGCTTCCTCAGGCCTGCCTGCTGTTACTAACATGTTTCATGGCATGGGGGGTTGGCTCATCGGGCTCTACCACGTCTGCTGACGAGCGCGCAGCTGATTTCTTCGGTAGACATGATTCGGATTCAGGACATACCAACAATTGGGCAGTCCTTGTATGCGCATCTCGGTACTGGTTCAACTACAGGGTGAGCATGATCGTACCACTATAACCTGCCTTTTCTGAGACCATGTGCTACAGCATATGGCAAATGCCCTTGGAATGTAACGCACCCCATCCCCGGAGTTGCTCCCTACCTGATGCACCTGTCAGGTATCGTACCGTCAAGCGTCTTGGGATTCCAGACTCCAACATCATCCTCATGTTGGCGGATGACGTAGCGTGCAATGCGAGGAACAAATTTGCTGGCAGTGTCTATGCAGAAGCTGGCAGGCACTTAGACCTGTACGGCGAGAACATCGAGGTAGATTATCGTGGATATGAAGTAACTGTGGAGAACTTCATACGCCTATTGACAGGTATGAATGGCTCAGTGTTGATTGGAGATCATTTAAAGTGTTGTAGGTCGGGTGGATCCCTCTATGCCACGGTCAAAAAGACTTCTGACAGACGACCACTCGAACATCTTCGTCTACATGACTGGGCATGGAGGAAACGAGTTCCTCAAATTCCAAGACCAAGAGGAAATAAGTGCATTCGATATTGCTGACGCATTCGAGCAAATGTGGCAGAAGAAAAGGTGAGATTTCTCGTCGCATTATCGTATTCGAAGCTCATGGTAGATCAGATACAACGAAATTTTATTCATGATTGATACCTGTCAAGCAAATACCATGTACTCTCAATTTTATTCCCCTAACATTCTCGCGACTGGGTCCTCTCAGATTGAAGAGAATTCCTACTCCGTGAGAATTCTACACTTCGTTTTGTTACGAAATGCTCATCATGGATCTAGTATGAAAATGACAACGACATTGGCGTCTCTGTCATCGACAGCTATACACACTACGTTCTCAAATTCATGGAAGGAATAAATAAGACGAGTCAGACATCTATGCAAGATTTGGTATTCTACTTTATCACTGATCTGATGCGCGTATTTATTCTTTATTGTGACAGTTCGATTCATATGACCCGGCAAAGATTTACTCTCATCCAGGCATCCGGTCTGATCTTTTCCGCCGTCCCTTGGACAAGACGCTTATTACCGATTTCTTCGGAGGCGTCGCACAAGCTGAAGTCTTCCCATTGCAGGACATCGTGGGCTCAAGTGACCATCACTATCATGAGAATGATTCTACGCCCCTTACCACCCGGAAGCCAGACGCACCGTCTGTACCAGTGGTCTTGTCGACGACTGTCGTTTCCCTCCCGAGGTTGACAGGCGAGACGTATGAATGGGATAATTGGTGGAAAGAAGTCAGAAAATGGACCTCAATCTTTGTCGTAGGATGTCTTGTATCCTGGGTTTCTTTTGTGCGATAATACTATATCGATTTCCCCAATCTATCCTGAATCAGGGTCCATGAAGATCTCACAGCTCCCATGTTTGACTGTCACTACAACTCATGCATCATGTACCATCCTGCTTCCCACAGCGCCCTTCTCGTCTGAGTATCTGGCTCACACAATGACGTTGGTCATCGGGTGGGTTCGGATGAACTAGATGCGGCCCCCGGGCGCCCTTTGGGGGAGGTTGGAGGAGCTGTCCATCTAATGAATCAGTCTGACGCTTGTATAGCCGCCGCGTACCATCATCTTGATCACTTGCCATGGCAAGGAAGACATGATGGGGGGCCGTGGGTCACTCAGATGACTGACCGTGACGATGAAGGCAGGATAATACCCAAAAATCAAACATGTAGCAATCGCTAGACTGCGCTGGCTTAATTTATCCTCTTCTGACTCGCCCTCAGTACCGCACAAACATCCTAATTTTCCCCAGTTAAACAGACATAGCTCACGATGCTCTAATTTGCATTCTCGTTGTTGGCTTCACGTCAGCGTTATTCTATAACTTCGCTGGGGCTAGTAAGGTACGCTAACTTGTAGCTTGTAGTCCTGACGCATGTACTGACTTCCGAGTCTTACCTAGATTCTGATCCAGATTCGTACAGCCAGGAGTACGGAATCCAGATCCGCCATGGCCAGGTCACAGCACACGAAGGATTTCCTGAGCACCAGGTCGGACGTTTATCGCAATATAATTTAAGTGATACTTCCGAGTCTGCGGAGGCCGATGTCGGCTTACTCTCATACTAGTTGCGCGCAGTAGATTTTCACATGCATGTCGGAAGCAAGATGACATCTTATGTTGTCTGTATGCAACCTTAAAACAAAAACAATAGAAACATCGACAAATCACATTCTTCCATCCATCAAACTTGAGTCCTCCAGCTGCAATCCGTACTTCCCTCGACAATTTCAGCCTTGCGAAACCGACCTAAGTGTTGCCGACATCAAATATGGTGTACACGTTTTGCAAAAATACATCGCCGATAATTCAGTGTTCTTCCTCAATACTTCAGCCTAACTCTGCTGTATTCATTTATAGCACGTACCTCCCATCCCAGGCATGCCAGTAAGGCCGGCGACGCAATACGAAGAGCCTTCGTGAACGGGCCCTAGGTTGAACGTACTTGACGAGACAGGGAACAACCGTTCGCCAAATGCCAAAGTTGGTGCAAATAATCCGATCGTATCACAAGGAACTGCATTAAATCTGTCATAGTGACTACCCCAAAGTCGGAGGGTGACCAACTTTCATCGACGGCCCTTGCGCCCTTGATGTTCTCGTAGTACTTCACGGCATTGTCTGGTTTCGTGACGATGAAGGCCGTCCCCGCGTCCACGATAGCCTGTGCTTTGTCAGTAGGGACTATCATATCCTCTCCATTCCGGGAGAGCCCGCCGAGTTGGATCTCCCAGTATCCTTTGACTGTGACCGGGACAATCGTAAGTGTCTGGTTCGTACATTGCCGGGTTCGATCCTCCGATGCGAAGATCATATCGTCCTTCTGAGTGGATAAAGAGACTCCGAACACGTTTTGGTGCAGGATATGGCTGTCCACGAGGGTCTGGAAAAGGGGCGCGGCACCGTATGAAGAAATCTCTTGGAAGGCAAATCCAGCGAGCCCATCAGGCGCATTGGAAGCAGCAAAGTCAGAATAATACGTGTCCGTGGCACCAAGTGTTTGGTTTATCACCTGGTGAGAGTGAGCGTTGAATGAGCAACATGGTTTGATTGCAATTTGTTTCCCAACGAACCCTGTATCCAGCCAACTCCACCACGTCTGTGTATTCATCGCCGCTCATCTCCGTTCTATTTCCATACTTCACGGCGTAATGAGGTCAAGAGACGTCGTTGATGATGTGGCATTGTACCGCCGACGCCTGGCGCAGGAGAGATCGCATCGCACGGAACAGAGGAACAGGTCTGCGGACCCAGTGTCGATTTGCACATCAGTGACATTAGCACCAAGGATCATAGATGGCCATGCGACTGAAAGTACTCACCTGTGAATTATTCCGGAGGCTCCCCAACAGCGATGGAGCCATACCATAAATTGACACTGATTCTTTAGGGGGACAGAGTTTCCGTCACCGGTTAGAGACCCTGTGCTACGTTCGCCGAGTTTGTAAGGTGGACCGCGATTGCTCAAGGAGTGAGGCAAGCCTGTGTTCAGCGCATAATTGCGTAAGGTGATGTCGTACTTACTGAGGAATGTTAAAAATTGCGCTTCCGCTAAAAATCGACGGACAAGCATACTGAGAAACGGTCGTGAGATGTGCCTTCACGTCTTCTATGGTCGTGTCTCTGGATATTCTACTCAGCGGGATGCTGATGGAGTTGCTTTTGTAGACATCCAGAGGTGACACCACAACGAGAGGGACGAGATAACAAAACGTTAGTAAAGCTGTGGAAGGACGCATGACGTTGACCTGTTGATATCAGAGTGCTTATTTATGGCTATCAAGGCAGGCCATGCATGAGACCACGTTTTCCAACCACTTGACACTGACAGGTTGTCAAACATGCTATCTGTCGGGATACCTCACATCCTACACAAGAATGGACCGAGGTGCCTCGCTGCTCGGAAGAGATGCGGACAGCAATGACTTGAGCGTGGCACGAAAGGTAATCTAGTCGCCCTCTATCCATACAATATCAATACAACATCCAATGAAATTTGTCAACATACAATGGTGATACAAGACTTTGTACATCACTTAGAAAAAAGCCCTCAGCATTCATTCGTCAATGCGAGTCCCGTTAGAATTCATGCACCACTCCAACACAGCACAAGGCGGCCACAAGTCATCCGGCTCATTACCCGCGTCTTGGAGGAGCAATGCCACAACACCGTGCGGCGGAACAGCGTGAGCTGTGAAGTTGCGAACTGCAGTGCCGTTGTCTGTATGCGTCCAAAGGTCCTAGACAGACAAAGCAAGTCAGAAGGCCGCGGAAAGCCTGCATGGGAGATGAAACTTACCCGGACAGTGTATTGTCTGCCAGCTCGGATCCACGGAGATTCAGTCAACCTGAAGAACATGTCGGCGGGTTCATCCAGCGTGTTTAACTGTATAAACATTTAACTGTTTGGACATCGCGTCTCAAAGAGAGCACGAACGAGCATAAACACCGTCCCGTTCTGACTCTCCCCGCTCCAATATTGTGCGGGATGTGTGTCATTGCTGACCCAATCAGGCTATGGATGCAACGTGGCATCAACGACGTGGCCTCCGATTAACTGCAAATAAGTTGAAATGACTTACATTGATGCCCCACCGGAAAGGTGAGATGCTAGTGCCTACAACTGAGTCTTGGTGAATCGCAATGATTTCTGGATTGGTCAGAATCTCGAGGGTTTCTTTAGTAGCAGAAGCGAGCTAAGTTGGACGTACGTGAGCGGAAGGTTCGTCAACAGGGATCGGACTTACATGGGTGCCAATAAGTAAAGGTGACTTCAAGAGCGCCCACGCAGTAAAATGGGACTTCGCTTCTTCGTACGTTAGGGGGCCATTACCACTGTCGATCGTGAGACGACAATTAGACTCGGCCTCTCAATGACGTACACTTCAAGCTACAAGGACCCGTGTCAGCGCAGCCAACAACACCACAGAACATGACTGACGATATCCATGTCATTATGGCCATAGAAATCAGTTGCCCAAGTATAGAACGAGTTCCTGGAAGACGATGTGAATTACTCTAGGATAAGCAACGCGGCTTCTTTACTGGTTTAATATTTTGGCAATTGATTGCCAGTTCGGGTCTTGCCCACCGATCAGTTGCATCCTCAGTGAATGGTTTCGGGGAGTTTGAACGCTTACCAATATCGTTGGTCGTCTAAAGTATTCGTTAGCTTCCAGACATGTGTGATACGTGCTCTATCTCACCCTCCAACTTTGCCCGTATCTGCGAGCCCAAGTCCACCCTTGCTCCTGCAAAAATAGTCCATAATCCAAACATTGCAACGAGGTGGAGTCTCACCCTTCCCCATTGGCACATGGACAGAATTAAGGGTGGTGTTCCAGACGACAGAGAAAAATCAGCAATGGCGTTTGCCACACGTTCGTATCCTGGACCCGCCAGTGAGGATTCTGACAGCAGTGAAGAACATAAGTACATACTTCCCATAATATTCTCCCGCGTGATGTTGTCGAATGGAACTGATGCATATGGAGCAATCACAAACTAGACATGGTGTGAGTCCACGTACCAGCACAATTATCATACCTGTTGACAATCACCATCAAAAACAGTCGTTCAAGTCAGTGAATCGATACTTGCTTGAGATAATCAAAGCCCCAGTCATGAAAGCGTTTTACGTCTCTGCTAGATATGAGCATGATGTAATGACCAGGAGCGGAACTGCTTACCTTGCCTCGTTCTGGAATGAGCCAGGGTACAACTGGCATGTGAACCAACCCGAGTCACTGTACTGCATGACAGGGGCACGGTCAGGGAGAGTACAGGAATGACTAAATGATAGGTCCTTACAATGCCAGCTTTCCTGTGTGTGCCAAGGAAAAATCTCAGTGAAACGCAATTTGAGATGTATGTATATAACATCTCACGCACAGTCCAAGATTATGAATCTCGTCTGTGAGGGCCTTCATTCCAGACGGAAACTTCGTCGCGTCTGGCCGTGGATGTTAGCATATAAGCTGTCAGGAGAAAATAGTTGAACCTTCGACAATATCACCATCATCGTTTCTACTTCTCTCTGAGTAACAATCATCAATGTTGACATAAGTGTATCCAGCGTCCTAGTGGTGATGTCAAGTTCAGCCACCCTGAATAAGGCCGACAGCAAGCGATACTTGCCGCTAACTTGAGAGATTTCATAAGCTGTGCGGTTTGTAACATGAGGCCCTCGTCTATGTCACACTGAAAGATCTGAGTTAAAACCTTCACAACTAACTCCATAGCACTCACATGGTATGCGTTCCAAGCTGTGCGTGAGGTGCCAGGTCAGTATCGACAGCTTTTCGGAACGTGGCAACCTACTGTTATAGCCCATCACTTATCAACACATGAGGTAAACGAATTGGCGAAGACTGAATCTTCAAAGGCGCACCTGGTAGTTTGGCAACTCGGTTGTCCAATGCAGGAGCTTGAGCGCGGTAGGAGGTATCATGACGGTGAGTGAAGTATGTGATATATCCCAAGATTGCAGCCAAAGCTAATGGAACAACGACAACGAACGATCTGTTAAGCGTCGAGCGAGCTTATGAACGTAGAAATGGTCAGCATTCACTGCCTCCCGATGAAGCCTCGAGAATTATCATACCAGTATACGTCGAGCCTCCAGTTCCATAGGTAACGAGAGGGTTTCTTTGAAGGTACGGAACTCCCGGCTTCATAACTGGAAGATATGACAGTTGGGGTTGTCAGCGTAGTGAGCGACAATAATATTGTGGGGAAATTTGGGGTAAGCTGTGTGTTTAAACCACGGAAGCAATAGTATTACTAATAAGGATGCTCGCACGACGAAGCATGAATTATTCCAGACTCCTACCCATCGCTAGACTCGTGACCAGCCCCTAGATCTATGAGGCAAACCGTCGATAGGTTTGCCTCATAGAGGGGCTGGTCACGAGTCTAACCCATCGCGTGGGGAGGTTAGTCTACATACTATAGTAGCCACATGATTATATAACACTTTAACCAACAAATTTTGAGACTACCTCCCCACAGCGACTGGCATAACTTGTTGTGGCATCAATAGTTTCCACCCATGCAACGTACTTTGCCGGAGCTATCTCGGCATGTTACAATACGTGTTGTTACATGTTCTGCGAAATACATAGCGAGAATCCAATTGTACTATCGACGAAATTCAATATTTGGACAACCTTCTCCCTTTACTACTTGAACCTCCTCGACCACCCCTAGTCCTACAGCCTGTAACGCTAGCAGCAGCATCCAGTGCTGTTGTTGATGCTGATAGAGTCTATGCTTAACAGTTTACCTTGTGTCAAACGTACGTCAACATACGGCATATGCAAGTACAAATTCCAGATTCCGACGCTGTTTGCAAGTTACAGGCTCTACACTTGCATGTAAACTTGCCGTTGCAAATACGCTCTTTTATCAATGTACAAGGAACGGCTATCGTCTGTCTATACTAGGGGAGACTAGTACCTCAGCAACATGCGATCGACCCAAAATGTCTCATCTGAGTATTTTCGCCCAACCTTCTTGACAAGATTGCGCGTGCTGTTGAGAATTTGAAATCAGGCGGGTCCTTTCTGTAACCACGAGCACACCGTATACCGCACGCTTGCACGCTCCTTCGTTCACCTTTTTAAGCGGTTACTTGTCACTCTCGCTCGTCCCATGAAACGCGCGGTTCACATTCCCTAGTTTTCACTTTCTTGATTTCATCAATATCGATCGCTGCATCTCCCTGGGACAGAATCTCTTTACGGTTGGAGGAAATTCCTTTAATGAACGGCAGACTCTTTCTCTCTGATTCTCCCTCTCCCAACCGGCTATTCTCTCCTCAAGCTCGTCTACAACCTTCATCTATCTATTCACCAGTGCATCCACCCGATTCCTGTCATTGCTTACATATGAATCACCAAACTAGAGCCATCACACATTCGTTCACTTCGCATTCAAAGCGTGTACGATCACCACCCATTCGTCATCGCATTCGTTCCCACTGCCTCCGTTCCTGTTCACGTCATTTGATCGCTCTTTCTTCATACAACAACCCCTTCCTCTCTTGTACGACCGTGCCTTCCCCCCCTTCTTTGTACGATTCCCCACTTTCTTTGCACGGCTGCCCTCGTCGCTACACACGTTGATCATGTTTTATGACAGGGAATTGGATACAGCGCATGTATGTCCTTCTGGTCGCATTTATACTAATCAGCGTGTACATGAATCAGATGGTTGTAGATTCTGCTCGTGTTGTACTTAATTAATAATAATAGGCAACGTCTGTCACAAGGTCGACTTGAACGCCGTTCAAACCTGTGATGGGTCAATGAACCACATGGTGTTATTAATATGTCGTGGCTGAACGTTGCATCTCGCACTGGACATTATGGAAAGCCAGACCACCGTGCTCTACTTTTACAACTTCTTCTCAGAACCTGCCTATTGAGGCAAGTGCTTCCATTGACCTCCGAACACCCTGTACGACCATTAGAAAAAATTATTAACCGTTCATTGTGATACGTCCGCGTCATGATTCGAGGTATCTCTTATTCTGACTCAGACATCCGCATGCTGAGCATAAGCACCACGCAAGTACTGGTATACGCTACAGCAGTTTGTGAGTATATTCGATCAATGTATGCTTCACTACCAGAATGTATTGTACTGATTAGGCTACATCCGAGTCGAGGCATGGTCATTGGTGATTGCTCACGCAAGTGGAGCCATGTCCGCACCCAAGTGTTCTCCACTCTCAGGTCCTTCGACAATTGCAGCAGATCATCCATTTGTGATAAGCGGTACGCTCTTTACTACCGGGACATCATATGCGTCTTCTGAAGTTCTTAGAGCCTGTCTGGACAACGAATAACAAAATTTCAAATTTCAACTGAGTCATGTCACATGGTCTGGGGGATCCCGGATCACACACCTCGGTTAGACTTCATATTAACAATGATAACGCTTCGCATACATGGACTATGATATTGACCTTGAAGCGCAACAACAATTTGACCAACGTCGACGTCGCTGGACCGTGATTCTCATAGCTATGGTAGTGCAAATTATGAATACCTACCAGCTTCTATTCTTATCCTCAACTGTCCGTATCCCATATCATACATCCATCCTCACTGGTGAAGCATGGGTGTATGAGCTCATTTATGGACATCCTGACAGGATCCGGCACAACTTTGGTATTGATGGCAATGTTTTCAATGCACTGCTGCAGGTTCTTCACCACAATAGATTTGTCCTATCCCGCAATGGCATATCAGTGGAGGAGCAGCTTGGCATTTTTATATATACATGTGTCACTAGATTATCATCCCTGCCTTGTTGGGGAGAGATTCCAGCGCTCCCCTGACACGGTCACAAGGTATAGTGGTCTCGATATTATTTTTCAAGCGACTTAATCTATTTTCCAAGATATTTCAAACACATGCTTTTCTTCTTCTCGTCGAATCCATTTTACAGCTCCCAGATCACATTTCCGACTCACACAACCCCAATTTCCCATAAAATTCTCGATGATCCTCAATATCGGTTCTTTGATCAGTGTATCGGTGCCGTAGACGGCACACATATCCAGGCTTTTGTACCGCCAGAGGAACACTTTCACATGCGTAACCGCAAAGGTTTTTTATCGCAAAATTGTCTGTTCATCTGCGATTTTGACCTCCATTTCTTGTATTCACTCTGTGGGTGGGACGGATCTATGTCTGATGCTGCTCTGTGGATGGACACCCATTCAAATGACCTACTCTTAAGATTTAGGTTCCAGGCTTAGTAGGAACAGCGACAATAATAGGAGTTCGTGGCGCGCAGAATATATTCGGCTGATTCCGTTTATCTATTATATCAACTAACTACTCCGCCACTCAGATGCTCTCGTAACTCCGCTAGGAAGTGCACGAACCATGTCGGCTGATTGCTATGTCACAACACTCCCCCTCAATCTGGAGACATGCCCATCATGTTGGAGAGTCTCTGATGTGATGGTGCAGCTAGCGGTTTTGTGAGTACATCTGCTATCATCCTTTCTGTAGGACAGTATGTCTCTTGTATTATTTTCTCGCGAATCTTATTCCTGATGTAATGATTTTTTACATCAAAGTGTTTTGATCTCGCATGATATTGAGGGTCTCGAGCTATCGCTAACGCTGCCATATTGTCTCTGTATAGGATTGTTGGTCCTTCTTGGGCCAAATTCAAATCTTCAAACAAGTATCGAAGCCATACCGCTTCCTTCGCCCCATATGCCATTGCTGTATATTCTGCCTCTGTTGAGGATAGTGAGACGGCATTTTGTTTCTTGGAACTCCAGGTAATGGCTCCTTCACTTAGCTTGAATATGTATCCTGATACTGAGACTCTATTGCGGATGTCATTAGCATAGTCCTGCGTCTGTCCATCCCTCAAATTTGACTTTGGCGTTTGTGGAATCGGTTCCTCGATACTTAATTCCGAGGTCTTTAGTCCCTGCTAGATATCTTAATACCCGTTTTGCTGCTGACCAATGTGTTAGTCCAGGATTTGCGGTAAAAGAGCTCAATCTCTGAATCGCATACGCGATGTCGGGACGTTTCGCCACTGCAAGATACATTAAAGATCCAACTAATGAGGCGTAACTATTACTACGCTCGCCTTTTGCGTCAGTATCTTCTTTTTCTAATACGACTTTCAGATCCATGGGCATACCTACTGCATTGCAGTTCTGGAGACCGTATTTTTACAGGATTGAGTCTATGTACCGTGCTTGAGACAACTTAATTGTTTTCTCGGCATGGTTTCTTGTTATCTCAATTCCTACTATTTTCTTAGGTTCTCCTAGATCGGTAACGTCCAATATCTCTTTTAACTGCGTCTTTAACTGACTCATAAGATCAGGATTATTAGCAAACAGGAGTAGATCATCTACCCATACTGTTATGATCTGTGTGCCTGTCTCAGTCTGTCTTATATAGACGCATGGATCTGACTCGGTACGTTTAAATCCTATCTTTGTTAGACAACTATTTAATTCAATGTTCCACTCACGTCCAGATTGTTTCAATCCATACAAGGTCTTTCGAAGTCGGCACACTCTTCCTGTACTGTCTTCATACCCTTCCGGTTGGACCATGTACACCTCCTCTGTTAAGGTGCCGTTCAAATATGCTCCTTTTATGTCCATCTGCTCAACTTCCCAATCTAGGGCAGCTGCAACAGACATTGTTGATCGAATCAACTCAAGACGTACTACCGGTGCGAAAGTATCTGTGTAGTCCATACCGGGAATTTGTGAGTATCCTTTGCACTACTAACCTTGCTTTATATTTAATAACTTCGCCTTCTTTATTTGTTTTCTTAACCAGGACCCATTTGTTTCCAACGAGCATCCTATTCTCGGGTGGTTCTACCAATTCCCAAGTACCCATTTCGTTTAGCTGGGTAAGTTCGGCTCGTATCGCTTCCTCCCATTTTGGCCAATCAATTGACGCCTGTGCTTCTCTTAGGTTCTTTGGCTCATTGGGTTCAATGTGTCCTCCTTCTACCATCGCTATCAAGACTATATCTTCCTCTGTGAGTTCTGGCAATGGCAGTTCACTGTTTTTGACTTCATATGACTTAGCTTTATTATTCTCGTCATCCTCGAAGTCTGGTTCATTCATCTTGTGGTAGTCTTTTCTAACCGTCTGTCTTTTAGTTCTTCTGGGCATCTCTTGTGTCTCAGGCAGGTTCTTTCCGCTTATTACTTGCGGATGTATCCTTATCTGAGTTGTTTTCTGGTAAGTGTTCTCGTATAT